TGTATTGTTAATTTCGTCATTTCGACTAAGTGGGCATTATTTCTGCGCGAGTTCGATTTATAGAACATTTTTCCAGTAACAATGCCGCATAATAATACATGGGGTGCGAGGTTGGCAAACTCCGACACTCCCACTTTAATCGGAACGAATGAACTCCCAAATGGGCAAGCTTCCGAGTAATCCACATATCGACCGGTCCGAAAAATGAAATATGATAATCGTCACGGGCACTCCGCCCAGTTTGTCATATTTCTCGTATTGCATTATCATAATGACGCTATACGCGAGATTGCATTCGGCGCTGCAACCCCGATGCATCAGTCGGCGTAAGACCGATGTTCCGCGAGGACATGCGGAGAGAACTTTACGGCTGCGTTCTTGATGCATCCTCTGGAAATGCAGTCTTTCCTGCACCCTCCTTCCTATTCCTGGAGTATGATATAATGCAAGGCGATGCTCTCTGTATCAACTGCGCGATTGTGATAGTGACGTTAATGTGATATGAAAGAGTCGGCCTATATATATCTTAGAAGTCAAATCGTAAGGGAAAGTATTCTCCGAATTGGGTGTACCGATTCATTTGAAATTTTACCCCGTGAATATGGAGGCCCTAAAGTAGGTCCTAAAACTCATGAAATTTCATTTTTCATAATAAAATGCATTATTTATCATGGGCTAGAACAAATATGACGTGGTCCGTGAACGTTTTGAACGAGTATTTAAAACGGCGTTACCACCAAAAAGAGTACAGATGTATTTCATTTTATCGACGTTGATTAAATTCCTCAGCGCCTTTCATATCATTTTAATTGACACTGATTTCCAATTCCCAGCTTGACGTACTTCCTACTCCGAATACCCATAGCGTCCCCAAAATCGTAAATAATTCCTACAAAATCATATTTCGAAGTGACGATGTTTTAATTGTATCCACGATTACATCTCTCTATCGATGATAATTACCACATGTTACATACGCGTTATTAATTAAAGAAAAAAATCACCCGTTTAATTAAATGAAAGCTTGGATGAAATTGATTGCGGGAATTTTGAAAGGAAATCGAGATCGAATTCCAGATCCTAATGAACGATTCCGGTTCTCAGACGCGGTCGAACCGATCAATTACGTTCGCATTCGATTCGTGGGGTTGGGGCATTGATTGACATGGTTTTTACTAGCAGCTACCTCTTGGGTGCCGGAACGATAGCGCCCCACCGGACTCGCGGTTCGACGGATAAAAGCAGGCGACGTCAATCTAAATAACCATCAATAACGTGATAAAGGCTCCTGATAATGCCGCATCGCTCGGGCCGGAACGTTTCGGCAAGTCCGACGAGCGAGCGTTTCCGCAAACGCGTTTTGCGCCCGGGAGGCTTCCCAGCGAAATTGGCCGCAAACCTCTTTTAATCGTCATCCTGCCACGTCGCTCGATCGATCGGTTCGATCGACTCGATCGGCTCGTAACGCTCGTGATTAATGAACCGGGCGACGTGTTCGTCGAATCCAAGACTGACGTCCGCCGGAATTTTTCTCCCGTTTTTAAACGCACAAAGTACGTGCAAGCAGCGCGGCATCCCACAAATCCCGTGCAGAAGAAGAGAAAGGTTAAATGAAATCTCATACAATTGAGGGATTTCATTATTTCTGTCAGTATTATTAATTACAGTAGTAAACAAAAAGATGTTAAAAAGAGAGCAAGGTGAAGTGAAATTTCCCTTAAATAAGTACATTCGAATAAAGCATCTTTTTTTAGGAGTATTCCTCCGAACTGATTGAAAGTTTAGCACATGGCCCGTGAGGACCTAAGAAGAGCCCTGACACTTTAAACATTTGAATCTTCGAGCAACATTTTTATTTTGATTAGGCCAGACCAGAATAAAGATGGCTTCGTACTCTCATATTTCGCACAATTAATAACACTCTGGTAATCGAGAAACGCGCATTTAAACTTGATGATAGCAAAAGAAGTGTTTTGGGAACTCCGGTTCTATAATGCAGATACGTGTAGGGTATGAGATGAAAAATCATGAATTCAAGGGATTTCTTGAATTTTACTTCGATCCTTTTAAATGACAATTCTGATTGTAGCGTGACATAGCTGCCAATAAATATAAGCGTCGGGAACGTGGAGCCCGATTTTAGATGGCATTTCAGTTAGAAGAATTTGTTTTTATCAACAACGGGGTTTCACCTAATCTTCAATGGAGTGTTGACGTTTGCGTAATCTAAATTAATATCGATGTTATATCTTTTCGAAGTACATGCAAATCCAGATGGAGATTTTTATATAGCGTGTTATAGGTAAGTACTGGTCTTGCGGGTAATGCGAAAATGTGTTATTGCGTGCCGATGATCGCTGTGGCTCCCGAAAATCTCTCCGATGGAGCCCCTTGGAAATTGGCCATAAAACTCTTTTAATCGCCATCCTCTCGCGTTACAGCTCGATCGGCTCGTAACACTTGCGTGATTTATAGAGCGGACGACGTGTTCATCGCGCGGCTCCACCGCGGATGACCCCCAACAGGATTTTCCACCACTTTCGGGGTATTATAAAATCATACACGGATTAACCGCTTACAGGCGATAATACCCTCGAGAAATAATCATTACCCCCAAAAAACAGGGAATTTTTACCACAAAACCTGCCAAAACCAGCGGGGAGTACCACAGACGCTCGAAAAAAAAAAAGAAAACGCACCTCGCAATCGAAATTTGTATTATCAGGACGAAATCGGCTTTTCACTTTGCACTTGACATCAACGGTTTAATATACTCCTACGTTCCCTCTAGACTTGACAAATTGAAACTCAAGGTACACCAATTATACACCCGCGACAATGACAACTCCGCAAAGAGAGATGCAAAGGGCAGAAGTTAAGATGACAATCATGGTCCTGGTGCTATCTCGAGACAGGAAATTCTGAAAGCTCGAACCTAACTCGAAGGTCTATAGTTGTTACTAACTCGACAAACCCGATGTATATGACTCTACACGTAACTTTCGTTAGCTTCGAGACGCAAATGGATTCGCCTCCATAATTAATGACTGGAGCACGAAGTGCCCCGAGTTGGGTCGCAGATTTTAAGACAGGCGGCCATTAAAAGCCGCGACGACAACTCGGGCACGAGCTTCGGCAGTTTTACACAATGTAATTATTAATGGGACGAGATGGGGAGCCTCGTACAGGTAACTCGATACCGCTGATGAAGTGTTCTCGTGTGGGACTTTTGCCCGTTCGCGGGAACCGCTATGAGTGGCTTTCGTTATCCGATACACGGCCCGGGTTTAAGCGAGAAAATGTTAGGTGCACGTAATTGCTCCATCGACCGGCGGTTCGTTCAAGTTCTTGATATCCTGTACCACCCGACGCCCTGAAGAGCGAAAGACCCACCGACGAAATCGGAGCTCTTCAAGAACTCGGCCCCTGCGCGAATTCGTCGCGATATCCGAGATGAGATAGGAAAACAATTGAGAAGAAATACCTAAATGAGAAATAAAACACAAAGCCTTGGCACTTCGAGCCAAAAGTTGCAACGTAGTGCGACATCTAACCTGAATAAACGTAAGAAAATATATTATTGTTAAGTTAAATAACATTATTCCTTTAGGAAACATTTTTATAGCCAGATTTTGTATCGGCGTGTAAAAATTCATTGCTGCGTCGTGATGATTATGCCAAATTAATTTTCTGTGACAGTTGGTTTATTTTCTTTGACAGTGTTTTCTTTTCGGTATTGCCCCTCCGGATGAGACCAGAGGGAAAACTCGACGCGGAAAAATCGCATTAGATGAAACGTGGGGAAGAACACCGAAACGCTGTCCGCGCGGGGGAGTTTTAATCATCTTCTATTTTTTGCCTCGTAAATCTTGCGCTATCATATTTCTCGGGACGTTGTTCTACGTGGAGAAGACACCGGAGTACTCCAGGCTGAGGGGAAGTACATGGCCCACCAGGGGTAAAAAAGCTCCATCGCCTGAAAAAGCTCGTTCCCTGCCCGGAAGCAGGTCACCAGGGGTCGGTTTAATCCGAAAGCAGAAAATTACTCGGAGCATCGCTGACCAAAATCAGCCCAAGAGCTTCTACCGCATGTAATGCGATGAAAAAAATCTTGAAAGATATTTCCCATAAAAATCGCACAACTGTAAGAATTAAATCTCTTACCTGTATCTACCTAGCATCTTGAACCGCTTTGATCGAGACTATCTTTCGAGAGGCATTCAAGTTCCTAGGCGAATATCGAGCCGAAGAATATTTCGGCCATTATTTCTCCCCCCCTTCAATTACAATCACTATAATTTACTCAAGTAGTGCTCTCGACGTACAGGTAGACCTAGCTTTGCTTCGGGTACCGTGAATACCCTGAGCGTTCTCTCACCTCTCTGAAGGCGACCGGATTATCCTCGTAAATCACGAACGGCCATTAACGGGCTCTTGAGCACCAAATCAACCTGCATGGAAAGAAATCGTTAATAAACCACTAGCGGTCCACGGCACCTTTCTTTGTGCCGATATGATCATGACCGCAACACATACGCGGCTGCTGTACATGATCTCGCGGTTGAAGAAACGAGTAATGGTGATCGATCATGAGAAGATCCTCATACACCTGAAAAAGATGCCGTGACCACTCTACTTTCAATAAAAACATTAATTCGTGAACACTTTTTACACTTTTTACGAATTGCTTTTGAATTCCTGTCCGCATTTTTCAAATTAAATATAACAAGGTAGTGTATACTTTAAAGTGATATTATTACCTGTCAAAGCAATTTTATTATGTCCCGTTTAGACATAATGATTTCTGTATTCGGATAACTTTGAAAAGCGCATTCATTGTTACTCTGAGAAGGAATGTACGATTGACCGTTGTTTAAATCAATTAAATCGATGCGCAAAATTATGTTATTCGGGTCTTATCTTGGAAAGGCGAAGTTCGCCGTTCTTGGGACAAACTCGTGGATTACTTAATTAATTACAAATTTTAATTATAATTTCAGCACTGAGGCCAAATTCAGCAGTGGACATCGAGCCAAAGGGTCAAGTTGCGGTACGACTTGGAGAAAGCTTGAAGATCCTCTGCAAGACGGACTCGGCTCTGAGAGTATGTCGCATAGAAATTCCCGGGGAGAACAGCATAATTCTCTCACCTGACCAACCAGCTGAAGATGGCATCGAGTACTATGGAAACGGCACGCAACACGGCCAGTGCGGAGTTCTCATCTCCAAAATAATAGAGAAACACGACGGTATCTTCAGATGCGCGCTGACACCGATGGACGTCCGGACCGAAATCCTGTCCACTTTGAAAATTGTAGTAGCCAGTAAGTGCAACCTACCAAATTTTATTTCTCTTGATATTCCCTTAATCTACCGGTACGTATGAGAAAATATCATATGACCCAAAATTGAGTAATTTAAAAAGAAATCAAGAGGTAGTTAATTTTAAAAGGCCTGAAATTTGCTCCTTCCTGTCATGTCCATGGAGGACTTTTAAAAACGCTTACCAGGCTTACATCGTGTACTAGTAACAATGAATTCTGTTTATCCCTCAACAGAGCCTCCTGGGAACCCGGAGCTCTTGGTCAGCCCTGGGTTATATGGACGAAACACGTACAAAAAGGGCGAGAAGCTGCAAATCAGCTGCAGCGCTCCATCGGGTCGACCTGCTGCTAATGTTTCCCTCTACTTAGGTACGTATCAGATTCCAAGACAGAGAGAAATATCAGTAGTTACGAGTGAGGATCAAATCATTTAAGGTAACGCGAAAGTAGTCTCTGAGGGGTCTCCTTTATGAAACTTTTCACCGGAACTATATGTACCGAACAGTTTTAAATTTTACCACGTGAATATTGAGGCACTAAGAACGGTTCTGACACCCATGAATATTCATTTTTTTTAAATTCGTTTATAAGCATCTTTTAATGTTTCATAAAAGAAATTAAATTTCACGAGGGTGAGGACCTTTCTTTGAGCCACTATATTCACGTGGTGAAATTTCAAACGATTCGGTACACCCAATTAGGAAAGAAGTTTCATGAACGATTGACCCCCTGAAAGAAGTCTCGTTTATGAAACTTTTCTTCGAATTGGATGTACCGAATCGTTACAAATTTTACCACGTGAATATGGAAGCCCTAAAGTAGATCCTAAAACTCATGAAATTTCGATCATTCCCATGACCGGTGATTTAGAATCAATCGATTTCCTTTCAACCGCTAGTCCCTTTCGATGGCTCCTTCGAGTCTCAAAGCCATATAATTAATATCTGAAATTCGTTGCAGACGACGAGCCCATCGGCAACGAGGAAAGGCCCACCATATACGACTCCAACATCGATGACAACTCGCTGGCCGTCCAAAATGTATCGCGAAGTCTCGATTGGACGGACAATGGAAAAGTTCTTCGATGCCTGGCCAATCACATCGCCCTAGACCGACCGAAGGAAACCAGCCTGCAGCTTAACGTTTACTGTAAGCGATGCGTTGCCTCCACTTTAATCCATTTTAAACCGCGAATACATCGGAAATGCGCCCCACGGGTGACATTCTCCGATCGCCCCTTACTATTGGCAATTGTGTTCGGATCGAAGGGACCAAGGTTGAATTTCGATTCCAGACCCGCCGCAGCCCCAGCCGACGATCGAACGTTTTGGATACGTGATTGGACGACAAGGAATCGTGAACGTGACCGTCTACGCCAATCCCAGGCCGCATTTCCTCTGGAGAGTCAACGACGAGAAGATCAACCTGGGGATGCCCGACGAGAGCAACCGCATCGAGACCTCCACTGCCGTTGAGTTGGTAAGTCATCGTTCTATGTATATAAAGAGGACATTCGATTATCCGGAGGAATGACCGAGGTGGTGCCCAAGCAATTGAAAATTGCGGATAATGCAAAATCAATCGCAATGCGCTCATACTTGTTCAAACCTTTCCACCGTGCTTGGAACAAAAATCGCCGGCAGCCCAAATACGCTGGGCCAAGGGGCTATTCACTTGGAAATCGGTGAATACGATTTCCTTCTTTGAGAATCGATTTCCTTTTATTTTATACGACAAACAACAATGCCATTCGACAACAAGTGACGTTTGGTCTTAAAATTGTGACTATCGATGATTTTCAACGATTTCCAGTGCATTTCTGCTTGCGATTTTCAGCTGATTTCCTCGTGATTTCGAGCATTAACCCTTTTAGTGCCGACCGATATCGTTGGCACTTGAAAATGACGATTTATAGTTGCTCGGCACTAAAAGGGTTAAAATTCATGATTTCCTGAGGGAATACCCCCTCGCGCTGTCGGCTGAGAATGCGATTAATCCGCAGACTGGATAATAATTGTTCGGTTAATGGAGAGTCGGGTGTGCATGTATTCCGTATTAGCCTTTGTTTTTGTTTATTCATTGACGTAGAATACGTTTTTCACGAAAATACATATATGGACTATGTGGTTGAGCGGCGTTATGTAAAGCTGTCACAGTATGCGCTGATTGTCCTCACCTAATTACACCGCAAAAATGAAGCATGCGCCATTCGGAAAAAGAAGAGTGTTTGTCCATATTGGAAAAAAAATTAATTCTCACAAGTTTTCCAAATTCCAAATTTTCAATGATTTTGTAAACATCTTTTTCATAAATCAAAAGTTTGGAATAGCATCTACAATCTTTCAAAATGCCTAAATTCATTTCTGTAAGAAGGAAACGAAAACATCGAATACGTAAATCAGATTTAAAATATTTTGGGGAGCTCAAAAGGGTACCCAGTTTCGAAAGACGTATTCTACATCAAATATTCGGTAGAAGCGTACTTTTCTGCCGATTTTTATTTAACCATTTGACTACGGAACCCTTTCGACATATGGGCGAAATTCATCAATACGTGCAGACAACATTGGACCAAACGTCAGACGCCTTTAAGCGCCTTTAGTAGCCAAAGGATTAAATTAACACATTTTTATACCATTTGTACTATACCATATAAGAATAATTTCTGACATAAAAACAAAATGGTTATGCCCAAAAGAGATAGAATAGATATCGACTGCTCTTTCTGCTCTGCTGACTCACACGGACGATAAAAAATATTAAACACTGAAGACAGGTATTTGCTATCTCCTTATCTAGGGCATTAATCATATGTTAAGACAAGAAATTATCCTGCATTAATCTTGCGTTAATTCCGCCCTAATTAATAATGCCATCAATTACCAGGGCAGGGGAGCGTGGAGCGTTATCCTGAGCATCGACAGCGTCCAGAAGTCCGACACGGAGAAGGAGTACATCCTGGAAGCTCGCAACGACGAAGGAGCTTCGGAATATCGAATCGTGCTATCAACGTCTTCGGAACCAGCCGGTAAGATCGATAACAGAACCTTCTCCGATTATTTTCCACCCTTCCGTGTAACATCGCCACACTGTGTGTGCACATTGCACCGCACTAGATACACGATGCATTACCGTCCTCGTTGCTTTTGCCGCTGACAGTGGGTACCTAATTAAAAAAAAGAAAGTCTCTTATCGTGCCACAAAAGCAACTAATTCTTTTTATTCGCGAGTCTCCTACCACTCAGGCACGCCGTTTCTAAGTCGTGCCGAAAATCTCACTTTTTACTCCCGTAACACTTTTTAAAAACACGCTCACCTCTCTCTCACCGTCACCACCTCCACCATCGATACTTCGCAAATGACTTTAATGTAGCAATGACAGTGTCTAACGGCATTACTTCACCGCATGCGCACGCAGGAGCGTTCAGTCACTTCTATGGTAAGCTCTCCGAACACATGCACGCACTAGGTAATTTCATTTTTCACATTATTCGTAGATAGGCTGCCACTTTGAGTTCCGCGTAATTGATTTGAGGGCCCCGATCGGGCTGATGTGTGCACTCGTCGCGAAATTCCGTCACTTTGCAAATTAAACCCCTACGTGGTGATGAATAACGCCTCGTGACAATGTTTGCTTTTAAATGATTATCTGTCATATGTCTTTTGTCACCGAAAAAAAGGATCCGAAAGAGAAAAATTCCACGCGATCTTGGTGTCTTCGCGTGAATTAAAGTCTTTTACACGGAACTCTTGGTGCGGCACGGTAGATTACCCCGTCGAAAATGAAAAATACGAGTTTCCCGATGATTTCCCGTTGACGGTAAAGTCTAATAAATCATAAGCGATGAGTTATGCTTCATATAAGATCTTACTCCTGTGATCGAGTCGGATTAAAGCTCTCCTTGCGCGAAATCGACAAGACGGGTCAAAGTTTAATTGCCGCGGCATAAGTACTTGCCCTTTCGCAATTAATTCGGTCGTTCACCTATTAAATACAGTTTACTGGAAGGAAATAAGACGTGTCGCTACGCAAATTGTGGCTTCGTTTGCTCGAGTCGTTGTCTTTGCGCATGTTTGTCGGCCGAGCAATTTCCCCTGATTGCCGGCGAGTCTCGTGGCAGGTTCGAGCATAAATTTTCTGCTCGGCTCTCGCGATCATCCTGGATGATGCCTTGCGGAGGGAAAAAAAGTTAATAGATCCCGACTAGTAACTCTTGTTGCATTTGCAGGCGTTGACCTCGACGCTGGATCCATCATCGGAATCGTCGTCGGAGTCCTGGTGTTAATCCTGATCGTATTCCTGGTCATTTTTGCCCGTGCGACTGGCCGCTGGTGCTTCGCAGGTGAGTTCCCGTTTCCGCTTTTCACCGTGGCGCGTTTTGGACGTTTTCTTTGTTTATCGTAATACTCATCCCAAATGGATCCTCGCGGACAACGTATGAATAATCTCTGGTACTTCATACGTACACCCGCGGGGCACAAACGAGACGCGCGAGATCCTCGTTAGAAATCAAGGGTAATGACCTGTACTCGTTTCTTTGGGTGCTCCACGGTTACGGAAAGAGAATTTCGTCGAAGAAGTTACTGCCGGCTTTTGTGGTAACTTCTGCACGCGCAAGCGCGGACAGCTTTAGGGGGAATTATGGCAACCTGTCGTTATATCTTTCTCTTAAACTTGCGGAAAGATTGAATATATCCGCGGAAAATTTAGGGCACGAAGAGAGCAAGATTAAGGATACAATTTTTCCCGAAATTCTGCTTTTTCTTCCGTAACAAATGTAATCCTAAAGAGGGTTAGCAATTTCTATTTGTGAAATATTTATCGAATGACTTTCCAGCATGGGAAAAAAAGAAACACTATTTTACATTGAGATACGTCGCTTAATGGGCATTATTCAGTTAAGGGGATGTGAACGTGGCATCTATGGAATCCATTGTTCATGAAACTTTTTATTCTAACTGGGTGTACCGAATCAATTCAAACTTTACAACATGAATATGAAAGACCTAAGGTAGGTCCCGAAACTCATGAAATTTCATTCTTTATAAAATATTTTTAAAATGTCTATAAACAAATTTCAAAGGAATTAAAATTGTATGGTACCTTCCATACAGCCTTCATATTCACGTTATACATTTTGAAAAGAGTTAGTACACCCAGTTAGGAGAAAAGTGCCGTAAACGAGACCTTCTCGACGCCACTTTCACATCGCCTTAAAAAGTACCTATTAATCAACTCGTAGATAGATTAAGATGCAAATAATATACTCGATATTACTCGTGGAAAGTTTAACCAGTACGCTCGATAATTGGAGTAAATTACAATGTAAAGCATTTCGAAAAACACGTTCTTGTCGGAGTTTTTTTTTTTAACTAAAGTGATACTTTACGCAGAGAAACAATATCTGAAGAGCGTATGGACGCCAATTATGAACAATGAAAATGAAAATGCTAATGAGGGAATTAAGTTCGTGGTAATACGGTACATTACTACGTCAATGGAGCAACACCCACGTACGAAGATAAAGAAGTAAAAAATGCATGAATTACAAAAACATTAAATTCCAGACATACATTCCCGATAAACCTTTTTATAATATTAATATCAGGAATTAACCGCGTCTCAAAAAGGCGTTAAGTGAATTTTAGTTTAATATCAGAACTCTCATTTTGAGTTTACGAGCATACTAGTAACTAATGCTTTACAAGATATAAGTCTTAGCAAAGTACAATAGCTTATAACACAACAGTTAATAGTCTAATCCTACATATAACAACTAATACTATTCACCTATTTTATGCCAGTATATAAAATAGCGAACTAACAATTACTTTGGCCTGAGGAAACGTCTCTCTTAATTATTCATTGCCACTAAACAAAGTAAATTATTACACCAATTATTCACAGGGGCTATTCCGCGAGCCCGATACATTGTATATAAACGCTCGATTATTAATTTAACATTCAAAATTCCGCATTCCCGATTAGTAGTCCCTCAGCGAAACGTTGTAAAAGTCCCAAGAGATGTTTACTTAAACCGAATAAGCCGAAATTTAGTGGTCCCAATATTTCGTGTACCTCTAGTAGGGTTAATTTGGCAAAAATGGCATTTCATAGAAATAACGAAAAGTAACGAAACCAAACGTTCAAGACTCGTCGAAGGAACGTCGTGCTCCGTACTAGGCCATAATTGTGTACTTAGTTGGTATGCTCTTCCACATCCAACCTTGTCGGCTATTATCTTGTATGTATACAATGTCTTGTGTGTTGTGCCGCTACCGATAGGACAGCATGCAAGTCGGGCCAAGTAAAGAATACGGAGACACACCAACATTTACCGTACGATTCCGTACTCTAGGCATGACACTGTCCAGGGGTAAGTTACCTCAGACAGCAACCCCTGTAATGCTCGCGCTGCTAGCAACCACTATCGGCCAAATATCGTCACCTACTTTGGTTGTTCTCACCCTGACTTTACATACACCTGTGTGTACACCCTGCCATATTCTCGGATCTGGCTTGAGGACTACCCTTCCTCGTTCCCCCGAAGATAAACTCGAGAAATTTACGGGAAATATGTAAAATACTCTCATTCGCTTGCGAAAGCAAACTTAATTACATAGACACAGAAGATAACCCTCGGGTGGACAGAAATTCGATGAAACACTTTCTCAAAACTTTTTCTAAGCTGTACGTAGTATGATATATGTAGATATGTACAGACCCACAATATTTATTCTTCCCCTATTTTCATAGAATAATGTTATGCAAAATGGTTCCTGCATGATACCTTAACATGTTTTACATTGAAATTAAGTTCGTTATTATCGATGTTAACCCCTGACTGTTCAACAGAAAAAGTAGGTACTCATAAGCGTTCGCTATTCTGATTGTAAGCATAATTTGTAGGGTGAATCTTGACAAGCTATAAAAATCGCCTCTTTCGGTGAAAATCAAAATGTTAACGGATTTTTAAAACTTATTTCGCAGATTCTTGTCCAAATCTTTCTTACGGGTTTAGCAGATTTGAACTAATTAAACTGACAATGAGGAACCATTTGCTATCTCGCATCCGTTGACAAATTCTTAATAACATAACTAATAGAAGCATCTTCGGATCGAGTGAAAAATTATTCTACGTACGATTCAAGCATTGGCAATTGTCTAATCTTCTGCGCAAGGTCCAGTTACAATTAATGAGAGTAACCGAAGCTTTTAATTGGGCTCTTAGTTGGTACGCTTTTCGCAGTGCGAGTAAATAATGAGAGCACTTTACTTTTCCGGCAAAGGGCGTGGCGCCGCCGTGGTCGAAGGCCACGGAAAAACAAGTACCTACGAGGAATAATTATACCGTAATATGCATGCAACTCGAGCTTGCGATTTCCATTGCATGTACTAATGCAGTGCTCGTACAACTCGTTACATCGAGTAGGACATTCCGTACCGTTGGCACTCGGTGTCCTATGCTAATTCAACTGGTCCATTGTAATCTTCGAGTAGCGGCTGTTGCTTCACGTACAAAAGTCGGAGGACAAACCAATTGACAAAAGAGCGCACGCGGTAATCCTGTGAGAAGCAACCGCGAGGAATCGGCGAAGGCAAATGTGGTAAAAACTCTACCAAGCTATCACCCGTTAATTAAAGAGAAATCATCAATCGATAGATCGAACGCGTTGACGAGAGTTTTGCGATCAGCCGCAACCAAATCCCTCTTCACTATGTCGTAGCATGTCTGCATCTCTTTTTTAATATTTTACGATCCTCTTGTTGTTTGTCGTCATTAGTTAGGCACACTTGCCTGAATATATATATGTATATATATATATATACATATATATATCACATCCGTGTATATTTTACATTTACTCACTTCCTGCTTGTCGATCGATTGCGTCTTACAGTTAGTGCGATGTGACATGCCTGTGAATGTTATGTAATATCTACTTATATTCGTCATCGTTGCCGTTAAATAATCCGTCACGAGACATTTAATGAAAAATAGTGATTTAAATTTTAACAAAAGATGGTGCTTTATTTTTTATGAGTAATTGTCGCTGATGGATGCATTGTACTGCCAGGGATGGCATGTCAAGACGTAGATACAAATTATTTAGAATCTTACCGTTCATACGAAGTCAACGAGAAATTTGTTGAATGAATGACGTTATCGGATTTCAAGGAAAATGGCATATTGGAAATTTGCATTTTTACCACTCCTAAGTACATTGATTTCCGAGCGGTAAATAAAGTAGTCCTTATTTTTTTACTCGTGATTTTATTGCTATTTTATGTTATTAAATGATCATCAATGACTTCTTATTTGAGATGCTCCAGATGTGTATGAACGGTTGTAACGCTCCAAAACTGTTTTTAGTATTTCTCGCAGAAAAATTTCTAATAAAAGGAAATTGCAGGGATTCTAATGTAGTTCGTTCGCAAGTCATGAGAACAGATGTTCTCAATTTCTATTTTTTATATATATACATCATAACGTGATAACAACAGATTCAAAATATTTGCTATTAGGCACAGTCTCTAATCATTGTCTATTACATAGCGATCGAATAAAATCGCGATCTCCAAAACGGACGACTTAAATAAAGTCTTGCTTCATTTGTCGCCTTTAAAATCACTATTTTTTGAGATAGTGAAGCTAAATCAATCCGAAGAGAAAGAAAAGATCCTTAAGAAACGAAAGAAGAAAATTAGAGTTCAGGGCGCCCAGAGCACCCAGCATCCACTCCCCTTATAAATATTGTACATAAAATCGATCTCTCATCATCATCGAGCCCATTCGCGCTTGTTCCCGATCATTTAGGACTTTGCGCATTCGCCACGCACGTTTACCGAATGCACGGTGCTTAAAACCAAGTTAAAAAGGTTCGATACTTGTCATTTAACGCCCTCGAATTCCCTCGTGGGGTCACTCCGAAAGAAAGTTCCTTTGTTATTCAGGGAGCGAACTAAATTGAAAAGAATGAGTAAGATAACGTTGAAAAATGAGGAATCGCCTGTTCCTAGCATCTTAACAGTCATTGACCGTTGTCCCCGAGTTTGGAAAGTCGAGGTGCGAATAGAAAATCAGTCGAAATCCACACATTTGCCTTGACCGATCGTGGGGTTGCTTGTTGCAGCGAGGCGTAGAGGCGATGAGGAAGCAGTCGGCGGCACTGGTGCCGGAAGTGAATTGCACATCACCCCCGGAGACGACGAAGACGAGCACGAAGACCCTCATATCATTGACGAAAAGATACCCCACGGAGGCCAGGAGAATCCCATTCACGCCAGCACCGAGTACGTCAACGGACGCACCGACGTCAAGGACATCAAGAAAGACGAGAAGACGGACACCCCCGTCTAATGCGCCCCCGTGAACGCGGTCTTTCAATTTCGAATGATAATTAAGATAAATGCGAACAACGCCAGATAAGGAGGAAACGTTGCACCGTGTGCAACCAGGACGGGAATACTCGTTTCCCAGCTGACCTTAAGCACGTAATTGTCGTGGAAATCGAGTACGCTCTGCGAGGCGTACTCGACGTACAGCGGTCGACCATAAGATACCGACCTTCGTAATTAGAGCACTGAAAGGTTAATAGACGCATTCTGGAAGTCTCGGGTGATCTAAGAAAATTTCCAGAGACGACTCGTCGTGTACTCGTTCTTCATACGTAATGCCTACTTGATTGATATCCGCGTTGGGTGGCTATGAGTAACAGAGATGCGGCTCTGGTCTGATAAAATCTCGGGTTTGATGGGCGAATCGAAGACGTTTTAGAGTAACTAGACTAAAATGTGGGGTTTCATTAATAAATGGGAATTTTAAGCTGGAGAGAATTTCTTATCGGATCGGAGTGGCATTTCCTGATGATTGAGATGCGAATCGAGACGTCGACGTCGTGGTCGATTTTGAGATCGCGTGCTCATCTCGACATAAATTTATGAACTATTGTGAGTAGTTCCCATGTGCCAGCGGTCTTTTTTATCCAGCGTTTATTCAATTTTCAATTGCCACCGGGCTAGCGCATTTCACGTTCGCGTATTGCATGTAATTTCTTTTTATTAATCGATGTATGATTTCGGCGTTATTAATTTTAGTTTAATTATAGGGAGGGACATTCCGTCTAGAGTTGCTAGACCCTACAATTGTAGAGCCTCCACAGCGTCTTTTAAATTTCGCATCACACGCTATGCACATTTAATTAGAATAATCTGCGCGCATTAATATCGAGGTCTAATGTCACGGAAAAATTGTCATTGTCGTAGGTAATACGCGTGCATTGTCGGTTACCGTCCTGGGGATCTGGAAAATCGTGATAGTAGATCCGTAGAAATCTGTCATTTGTTTTCAATGCGCTGCAGTTGCCATTTTTTGCTTCATTTGACACTCGACGGATTTGAAGATAAGAAGTATCTCCATACTTGAAAAACTTCCGGCCATAATTTATAAATATCGCGACGACGTGTCGTGACTCGAATTATGGAAATGCGTAACCTGCGGCCGATGACATCTCGAGCGGTACTTCTTTGAAGTGCGTGTGTACATAGTTCATCCATCGACGTCGCATCGTAAAAATGGCATTCTCTGTGGCCCAATGCGCCTTTTCGTAGAGTGAACCGCAATGAAGCAAAGCGATTTTCGTGACTCAGCAAAGAAAAATAGCAAACTAAACAAGGACGAATTCACAACGGGGTAGAAACTGCTTCAATTAGTATTTTTCCCGAACAACTTTTGGATATACCTCTTGAAGCGGTATTTTACCCAACTCTAATCAAAGTTAGGAACGTGAACGAGCTTCATGACCCTCGAGTACTCTCTTTAGAAGATACGGAAACTTCACTTCAGCGGGAAACGTAGAGCTGGAGATAAGAAAGGCTCAAAATTAGCGAAGGAAAAGTTTAAAATCGCCTAAAATTGGATCTGAAAGTAAATTTGTTATCCGATTACTGTTATTTATAAATTCTGAATCTCATAGTATTTAATTTCCCAGGTAGTCGATATCAGAAAACAATGCTCCTCCGTTATCTTGCAAACCATGAAAAATAAGCGAGAATCGTTGTGTCATATTTATTTTTACATTGATTTCATGACTCCATATAGATTAAAAAAAAAAAGTTGCGCATGTAAAATGTATAACGAAAATTCTACTCGAGCTCGTACACATGCCTAACCGTCTGTATAGCATTTCATTAACGACTTTATAAATTTTGGGTCTATCGTGTAATAAATCATAATCTTTTCTGCAGATCTAAATGAACAATCGAAAGGGTGTCCAAGCTACCTAAAATCGTTAATGCAATGCAAACTCGACGCAAACTACAACGTTCATGTGCGATGGCGTTAAAGAAAGAGTTAACAGCGGATAACAACATAACTTTAAGCGTCTCGTTAGGGAGGAATGTGCATCGCCCGTCATTTTGACGTCTCTCGGCGAGATGTCATTAATATTAAGAAGTTCGCAGGTCATGCCGACACCACTCAGCGCGAACTCTAGCTGAATCTCACTAGCGTATACAAATCAAACGTCATATTTCGCCGTTTTTTCCGAGGACATTCCACGAGCGATGACATATTGGGATGTGTCAACGGTAGACTAGATTAATAATACTCGCGTTTGTACCGCGGTACGACATACTACGTGCGATCAATGCTTTTTAGGTAAGCGAATTACATTCCGTAAAAGTAGCTCCTCGCCGACCTTTATAAAACCTCCCAAAAGCACACATCCCATCTCTGCAACTTAAGACCTTTCGGTCAGTATTAATTGTTTCATGATCTGACCTTAGAACGAGGTCTAATCTTTCTACGTTATCGTAGGAGCAGCTATGAAATCCAGTCCATTTACTTTCCTGAGACTGCCTTTGCGTTAGTCAGGACTGCATTCGCTGTGACCCACCTAAATGCATTGCAGTGTACTTCGCTTCCGTGAGTGACACAATTTCTTCGGCGTTAAAGCACGAGTTTCGATCTTTGACTCGTAACGTTTGAAAGAATGGTGCTTTAACCAAGAAGGAGGGACTCAAAGGAACGAAGGGCGATTTGCATTTGTGGGGCGGGAAGAAATGTCTTACGATCGAATTGTTCAGTTCGAGTCCCGATAATAATTCCTGATCTTCTATTCGAATTATAAAGACATTGCACTACATATGTCTGATCATAAAAGAATCATTGAAATTAATCGAACTGGTCCAAAAGGACTTGGATAAATTTTAATCATTTCATACCGTATTTCGCATTTAGAGCGTAATTTTATTTATTCATATTTATTTATTAATGCAAGAGTATTAGTCCAACCCATAAATTTAAAATAGAGGAGTGGGCATTTCCCTTGCTTTGGCATTGTCCTGTTGTTGTAATGAAATTTTGTATATGTCAGCAAATTAATATGATATTTACACGCATTTGCCTATTCACTGATCTGTGTTCATTGCAACTCGTATGACACCATTTTCTACATAGATAACAAATTTTCTTGCAGCGACTGTACAGTGTCAATCCATTAACCATAACCTGCCGCATTATTACCGATAACGCATTGTTAATGACAATTCTTCTCAAGCGAATGCAGTTGATGATAACTCTACAGTATTTTCACACTATACACTAAAGTTCTCTACACTAACGAGTTTACTTTACTTCATGATCGGGTTTTATTATCCTTAACACACGTACCCCGGAATTATTCACAAAGCATCAAAGGCCCTTAATTCAGAATCCTTTACCAATCAATCATTGTAAACCTCAAATCGCCGAGTCCAATGAGAGAGATTCTTAGTGATTTACGTTAACCATTCGGAAGCTTCGCGTTTCTTATTATTCTCGACGACAATAAACGTTGTTTGTACTTTTCTACGGGGTGAATTTTACTTAGCAAACGCTAAAGCGCCACGTTGCTGATAAGCACCCAATCGATTTGTTAACGCCAACCCTTCCAAAATCCGCACACCACGCCTAAACTTACCCACTCGTCGTTTACACGATTAATCTCTATCCCACTTTTACAAAGAGGGGCATGCATCCGGCAAATTCGCTGAATTTGTCGAATTTTTCTCCTCCTGCCGGCGATGGCGAGTATATATAAATAAATATGTATGTCTGCAAATTTGCCGGCAGCCCGCCCGAATTACTGCGTGTTGTATATACAAATATATAAATATATATATATATGAATATATGAATATATATTATAAATATTACGGATATGAAATTAAATAATATAGTATTGATATATTCTGCGTCGAGGCACTTGGCTTGCAACTCGTAAATATTTCCGACATCTATTTATTAATTTGCATCCCAAATGCCGAAGACCGGTCGTTATTCGTAATCGAGGGGAAATAATAAGGAAGGAGAAGAAAGATTACAGTTTACTTAATGGTTAACTATCTCACGAGAGTAACGCGTGAAAGAGGGACGGAGATAAGAAAGAAAGAAAAAATAGATACGTGGATGTATATTGCCTATAGGTACTCGTAACGTGTTTGCGATCAGAATGTTGTTTATAACCTTTGATATCTGCGCTGGTGAACCACATTTTTCAATCTGGATATCGAACTAGCGTAGATCAGCCCGAAAACGAATCGCAGCTACTTAGGGTATAACCAAGATGAGTGAGAGAGAAAACGAGAAATACAAATGGAATGAATGGCTGATAAAAGTATGCGAGAAAGTCCGAGCGCGAGGGTACGGTGTATCTGAAAGTTTTTTCGAGACATACGTCGTGTATGGATTTTTTATATGCATAACGTAGGACCACTCGGTTTTTTAATGTTTTACAAAGTACAGCAATCAGTTGACCGATTTGGGAACGATCGCAGACTGGAGATTGCGAGCCTTTAAATGTGTACTCGAGCACCGCATTATCGGTGTAATCACTGCAAGACTAACTCCGTTTGAACAGGTCCAAATACGTGGTAATAAAAATCACGAAATTAACACTGCCATGAAACACCGCAGACCCCAACATATTTCGTAGAAGAAAGATAAACGCTCATTGACGTTATCAATTTTTTCCCCGGAAAAAGATGAGGTATAAACAGGGCGAGGCTAATTACGCGTCGACTTGGAGGACTTTAAAGCGTTTTCGAATTTTTAATAGCCTTTTCGTCCCTCTATTTTCTCGGAAAAACTACGAGAACGTCAGGGGAGCAAGACTGTCGACGATGCGCACCATTTGATTCGTTTGACTTGGGCGAACTAATTAATAAAATCAATCGATCACCACGCAGGGCTACCGATACTGAACTGGACGCGAGCAAGATCCATACGTTAATGTACAAAGGTTCATTGTGGTACACACATACACTATGATATTACTATACTTATTTCGTAATTAGTTTAATTATCCCAGTATTTGTAACGCTAATTACTTAAATTCCCATGGTCATGCTGAGACACTTTAGGTATATACTTTGCGCAGACATTGTCTATTCGGAGAGTACGGTGTAAGGATATCTCGCTCGAAGCGCGAGAACTCGAGGATCGAGAGAGAAATTTATGAAACTCACTTTCGCCGAGAGGTGACACTATATTGTAAGAGCATGATCGTTGGCCATACAATGGAGTACATATATATATATTATATATATATATTTATGTTATAATGTAAGGTAATGTAATTATCGATATACGGTTTCCTGGAAATGGTGTTCTCTGAAAGACGTTTCGAGGCCGGACCACGCTTGTTGCGCAAGAACTCTTTGTTGTTGAGTGAAATTTTACTGGGAGTCCAAAACCATTCGCAATCGAAGTCGCCCTTTCGAGCGCGGTTCACGTTTTTTTTCTTTTTTTTTTTTTTCCAAAGCCGATCACGATAGCACGTAGTGCATACCGCGTTCCAAGATCGCGTGCACACTTTACACGACAAAGAATTCATTGCAACAATGCCCTAACATGGCCGTAGTATTTCGAGGCCGTTTAAGGATAATTCAAGGGCAACTACGAAGTTAATGTCGATTTAAGGAGCCGGTGAGAGGAAATTAAAAGACGCACTTGCGACCGCGTAAGACGAATTGAAAAGTAAGAGAAAATTTTGTATCTGTACTTGTAGATACAATGCAATAGGCAAGAGTAAATCTTATTAAGGATTCAAATGAAATTAATATATAGAGAACTGTATGTAATAAGTATAAGTTCATTCATCGCTATGATATTATACTAGGTATTATATGATTTTTAAAATAAAACATTTGTTTTAAATACAATCAGGTGTGTAAATGTTAACTGTCCGGGTAGGTTCAAACTTTGCGAATTTCATGTTTTCTATCTAAATTGCCGTCGCTAAAAGAACTTAAACGTCAAACTTTTTGAAGTTTTTCCAAAAAGGAGTTTAATGTATCGAAGTTTATGGTACCTCGATTCTTGCAAACCGACCAAGCAAGGAGATAAATTAAACAACAATTCACGAGAATTAACGGCCGAATTCTATTTGTTTAATAAGCGTTTCGGTAATGAAAAGAACCAGACCTTATCTTTACAATTTAGCCCCCATATAAAATAACAAGAAATGTATATACAATTTTTCATTATTTTTCACAAGCAATGCTTTACGCATATTGTCTAGTAAAAAGTATATTATCTCGAATAAAAAAACTAAAAATCCGTTGGCCACGCATCAATTGGGCATTACCTGACGATAATTAATCTCATGCTCGCCATTAATGAATCGGTAACGATCCTTTGACCTGATCATAATTGTTTACTTCGCTGTTAAGCCCCCAGTCTTCCCTAATTAACCCATTCTATAAAGAAATGTCGATTACAAGACCATTTTCAGGTCAATTTTATCTGTCCAGGACGCACTAAGTGCGCAATTAATTCTTTGGATAAGTACGGAATACTTGCATCCCGAATGGCTTGCATGATCCATCTTCCACTTCGAATGGGTTATCAATTTCACTTGCCGGTTACAATATTTTTGCAACTTTTATTCAATCCTCCTTTTTGATACCTACTCTCTGTTACTTTCAGATGGTTCGGCAAACAGGAACGTTGGAGAGACGTGAGTATAAATTTCAAGTACGATATTCAGCGAAACACTTTTCCCATAATTTCCGAATTCAGACGTGTTACTAATACCAAACATCCGGCCCAGCGTACTCGCTTTCGAATACGATGACATTAACATCGGCGGCATACCCTTTTCGGTAGTTCAGTTACAGTTTTTTTAGATTTTGCTCGCATGGCGCACATTTTCAGAGACTTAGCGGACCCGGCAGCAAGCGTTAGTCTACTTCGCTTCCACAAAACCAAAACAGACGATGCCAATGGGCAAAGGCAAGGAGCACTTTTTATTTTCTCCTCTATTATGCTCGTGCTGAATATGTTTGAAATGTTTGCAGTACTGTTTGCCGGAAATGTGCGGCAGTTACTTTGCTTCGTCCTGTACAATTGCACGGTGCAAGGCTGGCTTGTAGAGCTCGAATAAAATCAGTCTGCTGGCCTTTCGGTAACAAGGAAAGAAATCCTCGTCGAGTTCATTGCTTTCCAGCTTCTAGCCTGTGGTTACATGACTTGTACTCTTTACCTTATATTTCTTCTCACAAAATTAAGTAATACAGCTGCGTAGGAAAATGTCGCGGCTTTCCGGAGTACGCTTTAGAGTAGGACCGTTGCGGTCACAGGGAAAATGTGAAAAGTCGAAATTCAGTTCTGCTACATCTCTATAATTGAAAGTAAAACGTTTTAAAGAATAACCATTCACGGCATCAGATTTTCATAATGATCAATTTTCAAAGAATTAAAATTATTTCATACTTTGTTACACGGTCAATCGAATCGATACTATTGATCATTGGTCATGGAATTAATGCATTCTATGAAGTATTATTAATGGTATGTCATTTTTCCTGGCAATAATGGTACAAAGTGTCGCAGTGGTTCATTAATAATTGACGTACCTACCAAAATTATGAATAATCGACTTAGATCCTTTTTCGTATTTCTTAAGAGTAGAACGCTTATGTGCAAAGAAACAATGCTTTTGTAGTATTAGCATAACACTGACAACTTTCCTTTGTATCGATCGAAAGTTAATGACAATCCTCTGTATAATTGCTTCCTTTCCGAAAGAAAACTGCCATGACCGAAATTTCCGATTTCCACGACGATCCCAAAACGCAATTTCCATTATGCACCCGCGTACACTGTTTTATCACCGCGGTTACGTAAGGCATCATTGCACTTCAAAATGCAACTCTACGGGTGAATTAATGTTAAAACAATCGCATAAACAGGTTACTTACGTTGTGCGTCACTGTACTCTCCCACGAGTGGTAATCGTTATTCCGTTTTTTGTGGCCGCTTTGGTAATTACATTTCCAGTGAATTGATCTATTAGAGAAAAGTTGCATTTGTTCGATCTCGGTGTCAGCGAGATAAAGAATCTCTACTAATTGCAGTACCCGTCTGCATTACAATTTTCCGTTAACGATAAGTAACATTCTTCGTGCATGACATGACTTTGTCGATTCTCTTATCACGAGATGTTCACGTGTCGAATTTGACTCTTCCTTTGGCGTTATTTTGACGCCTTTCTATCAGTATTCGTTAATGTCTGTATGTAATCGTCGTTTTTCGATCAATGCATTCCGAACTCTAATCTCTCGTGGTTCGGGTGATCTTATTAACGCCGAGCTATCTCCTCGAAATTAACGTTTTCAAATAGGAGCGACACCGAGAGTGCAGGCCGATACTCAAGAAGTGAAGTCGACAGCACCTCTTCGAGGCCAAGAAGGCCAAAAATGACGTTCTCGCAGTTGTTCAAACGCAACAAGGACAAGATTTCCGGAACGGACACGGATACCGTCAGGACGGTTGTCACCGTTGACGATGAAAAGGTAAGGACTTCTTGGACATAAAGCGTTTAATTACTGCACGAAATTATGCAGATCAGTCAATACCCTGCATAAGAATCCTGATACTCGGCAGCCCGTCTCCCGTTCATAATATATTTGGCGTAAAACTCTGCCGAGATTTTCGATGACTAACACGCTACATATTCGACACATATGCGTTTAATTTCACTATTATAATGATTTCCATCTAAAATATGTGATTAATGTAATAATTGATTTAAGAAAAAGAGACTAATTATCTAAATTTATATTCATTGTAATAGAGTTAAGCACAGATTTCTATACATAAACCTAGACCGCTGACAGTTGCTGTATGGGTACATTTAGGGTACCATCAGTTACCGTTTGGGGACGCTGACGTGTACATTTTATAGGTATATTCTAGTCGAGTCGTACTTCCCGCCCCCCGATAGTAGGATAGGGAGGACACAGAGGCAGGATTCTGTACGTCAATTTGACAGCTGTCAATATCGTTAACCTATTGAAAGAACACGGTTAATGATATCTTCGGAATTGGCGTACAGAATTTTGCTACATGCCAGTCGAAATATTCCAGGCCTGTTTATTTTAAATTCTCGAGAATTTAAATTAAGAATTTAAATTATTACGTATTTCCGTGATTTTGACTGAACGCGTCAAATTACAAATTACCTTGCCCTCTTGCGGCTTTAAAAGCAAACTGAAATGAGGTAAACCGGATAAGCTCTTGAACACATTTGGACTTCCACTGTTAGCGACCTAGGTTTGTGTATAGAAATCGGTGGAATTAAGTAATTCCGAACGTGTCTATGTGCATCATACAACAAAAAAAAAAAGAACGGGTCTATTTTCATAATTAAACCATGAAATATTTTATAAGGTACTTACTTCCTCCTCCGGAGATAGTAAATGTAAATTCGATTATTTATGCACGGGATATTGCAGGCACGTGAGGTGCGTATTAATTTTCATCTGAAGTGTTTCCTCGATTAACCTGTTAATAATTATTAATCATTTCAACGCTGATCGCGTTTTACCACTTCTTCGCATCTTTGAATCCGATTTAATGTTCATTTAACATTTTTTTGTTTGATAGATTAATTACTTTTTTTTTTTCATATAACTTTAATTATCCTACTAGGAGCCTACAATTGGCATCTAAACAATTTGTTCCCCAGACTCCAGCTTCGGAACAAACCACTGATGTTTCTGCAACCACGACTGTTCCTGCCGGCGAGGGTGGATTAGTTTATGCAGAATTGGACCTTAAACAACAACAACAAGGGGCCGTTCCACGACGTGTGAGCGAGGACAAAACCGAGTACGCAGAAATTTTATACACAAAGCCGGAAACGGAGGAAGATCGCAACAACAAATAGGCCTTCCCCGTGACTTTTTTAATAATCACCAGAGGCTTTTCTAAAGCAAACTATCCGACCTAATGAAAATGCTAGAATTTTCAACGGAACAAAGTTTTACAAAAAAACATTCGTGACGAATCAGTTTATCATCGAGTGGTTCAGGCATTTCGCTCATATTTTTTTGACATGTATAAGAAAATAATAATTGTATAGATAAATAAATACAAATCGAAGCTAAGGAAAAAATGAGCGCAATGCCCAATTCACTTGTTTGCAATTACAGCGTAACATAGATGTAGGTTCTTTTCTCTTAATGATTTTAAAACAAGATTTTTACCATATGTCATAAAAATCGTGAACAGAAGATGGGTCACTTGAACAGGAGCAACATTCTTGCTGCTCTCAATGAATCTTTCAATTACATTAACACTTATGTCACTTTCGATTGAGATGTCGTACTACTTACGACAACGCATCATCTGTATTACGTACCAAGTACGAAGAAACATTTATATTGTCGAAAGTAAGCTTACGAGTGACGTACTTAAATGTTTTGTTTTTATTATTGTTGCGCACTGTTGTAATATCTATACATTAAGCACCTTCCTGGATGATTCGTTTTAAAGCTGTAAGCATAATTTCGAATTTAAGCAGTAACGGTTAATTATTGGAATAAAAAGACATGAATTTTTTAAACTGATTTATATGTTACGATTCAATTTTTATACAATTTTTTGATATTCCTTTACTTTTTATAGAATTCATGAGTGCTACGTTAAAAGAGAATCATCCGTAATTGTATAGTGTCTATAGATTTCTAACCATTATTTAAGGCTAATATTAGTTCATGGCTACTTAATTATTATAGTTTTATCTTACATATTCCATTCGTGTTCAAAATATATATATATAAAAAACGTCATATTTCGTGCACTCTTCTTTTGTAACTTTCGAACTTAAGCGTGTGAGTGTACTTCGCTGATTTATTTAACGATATAAATACGCCTAAGGTGATATTTTAATATCTTTGTAAGTCTTGTTTGCCGTCCGGTTCTACTAAGCTTAATTACCATTTTGTATTCCTTTACTTTAGTATACCAAAATAAAGTGATAAACAATTATTAAAGGATACAACTCACATATCCTCATCAAATCCTCTGCAGCACATCACGATTTAGCAGTAATACTTCAAACCAGGTAAGGTAATAAATATAGAAATAAAACAGACGTAAAATCATACGTCGAGTAAACTGATAACAGCAAATATTGATAATTTAGAAGTGCGTAAATAAAACCAATATTCACAGATTATGGCACAGCATATAAAACTAAGTTTTTTAAAAATGAAACACTGCCTGAAAAGGCACTTTCTGCAATTTTTATAAAGCCATAAAATATTATATTTTTCTAATCAGATCTTATCATTGACAGTCCGTTTAGTTCGAAACTTTTGCTTGTTGAAATATATCATTATTGAAATAACTTGTCATAATGTTTAATTCTGCTATTTTCCCATTAATTAGCCTCATATCAACGTTTGCTACTTTCAGCCTTCCTCGTCGGTAGTCTCTTCAGGAATCTCCGATTCCGTTGCTTCTGTTTCTGTCTCTCCCGGTCCCGTTTCCACCTCGTCTTCTGTCTCGGTAACTTCTTTGGCATTAGTTTCATCAATTTCGTTTCGTACTTTTCCCCCTTCAAGCGGTCCCACGGCAGTAACGAATGTATCTTCTTCCAGACTGTCGTGCAATATACGATGATGGTATTTTTGGTACACCTCATCCGCCATTTGCAAGTTACGTTTTTTAAACTCCCCTCGATTGACATCCATAAGAAAACTACGAGGAGCTTCACAGTCTAACGGCGTTGCAGGAGAATAATCAGGTCTAACTTTGCTCTTTTTCGGCCTCTTCTTCGGTGTCAATATTGGAGCTGCAGATTCCTCCGTTAAGAGATTCACATCATCCAGGAGATCAATGATCTTTGGATACTCGTCACATTTTTCTAGCAACTGGAACAAAGACGATGGCTTGTAATCATTTCTGGCTCCACCCGAACACTCTAGACACTCTTCAGGGTCGACCTCCAAAGAAAGCGAGTCGGAATCACGATTCGCACGTTTTCTTGGTCCCGGCTTTCCAATATTGATATGCCAAGTCGTACTGACTAACGCGTTGTTTAAATTATCCTTCTTTAGATTCCTTATGAGGGGTTCTGTCGATGGAGCCGAAGGATGCGCCAGCAGGTGCCCATATTTAATCCCTGTAACTAGGTTTCTGCGATATCGGAGGTAAGCATCCTCATCAGCAGTCGTTTCAGCTCCTGGAAGTAGCCCATCGACTTCATCAGCCCTTCCAGGTTTCCTGTACACGGGATCAAGCATGATCCTTTTATGAGTAGATCCTCCCAACATCGCAGCAAATTTGCAGTCTTCTTGCGAGAACGTAAACGCTACTGGAGTAATCCTGAACTCTAGTTTAAGATTGGTGTTCAGCATCTTAGTTAGGGCATATACAAGGGCCTTCGTGTTCCTGCAGCGAAGGACGTACAGAGCTCCATGATTCCTGGTAAAAAGTGGAGGACCCGTCCACCGAGGATCCACCACGTAATATCCATCTTCAACCACCAAAACTCCAATGGTGACTTTACCGCACTCGATGATTACGTTAGAAGCTTCGTTAAAGGCCATGATCAAGGCGGTCGTCAGGTTCATTCCATCTCTTCCATCATAAAGGATTCCACATACATCGACTTTGAATTCTATCGACCAGATATGTGGGAAGACCTTAAAACAAGGCTGCAAATTAAACTTGTTGGGGTGCTTGCGACCCCTACGTGCAGAACTCTTCTGGCTCTCCGAATAGTAACAATCTCCACATATCACAGCAGAGTCTAGAATCACTGGACCCCATTGAGATGGATGACATATGTACTGCATTGCCAGAACTGCCACACAAATGGCAGCCTGATTTTTTCCAGCTCTTTCCCCAAACCTGGTATCATAGGAACCCAATGTTCCCCATACGGAATATATGAGGTTCGAAACCTCGATCGTATAGTGATTCCAAATCGGTTTTTCAGGGACCTTTGAAGTTTCTTTCTTCTGCTTCTTCCGCTTCTTGTCAGGTTGGGCAATGTTTTCAAAACTATTGAAACTCCAGTGAAAATCCAGGTACATCCACATGGGGTCTTCCTGAAACTCCTTGAAAGGAGGAACATTGATGGACTCAACATGCAGTCGATGAATGAAGAATCCCGTGGTCTCCGGGAATCTGTTCAGACACATGTTCCTCACCATGTGGCAGAGACAAGAGAAGATGCAGAGACAGCTTTTGCCTTCAGTCTGAACTCTTCTGCCCTTTTCGTTACACTGGTAAGGGTCCAGGTAATAGTACGAACGCGTGGCAGCAGAGTACCAGAAACCGTAACAACAGTTTGTAAAATGCAGGATCCCGGCATTGTGTTTCTTGAAATGACACTTCAAGTGCTTTCTGACGAGTGGAAAGAAATCGTTCTTCCCTGTTTCGGGGTTCTCCGTGAAATTGACCAAAGTCGAGGAACAATCTCTAAATTCGAAGATCCTGTTCATGATGGTGACGTTTCTTAGAATGTGTTCGGTGTGGTACTTCAGCTCCGGGAATTCTCTGTACAAGTTCTCGGCTACCTCGACGACTTTGTCCACCATTCCCGGCACGGGACTTTGGATGATGTCTCGTTTCACCATCACCGCCAAAACCGCGACGAAGTAACACCGCTTCACTCTGGGCTCCGTTAACTTGTCCCTGTCCTGAAAACCGACGGTGCCTAAAACGAATATCGGTTTCGGGTTAGGAACCGTCGACCTGAAGATCGCATCCAGGTCGTAGGGCTCTCTTCTTTTCTTGTGAATCTCAGCCAACGACGTGGTCGGCATCAGCGTTTCGTGCAGACCCTGAAGATCCGTGCAGTCTGGGTCCAGCTTCCTGGCGTAGGATATGGTGACGACTCTCATCTGGAAACGCGCCTCTTCCTGCTGATCAATTGCCTTCACTATCAACTTCAGGAAATCCTCCATGTCGTCGGATACGATGATCTTCAGACGTTTCGTCAACTGCACTGTCCACCAAGCATAATAGTTCCCCTTCCGTCTCATGACTCCAACATGACCTTTCCCACAACTTACGACTGCCCCGGTGTACACGGGCGTCCCGAAGACCTTCTTCAAAGACATTGCCAAATTCCAGCCCACCGTGGCATACAAAGTACCTTCGTGCAAAGGTGCGAAAACCGCGCGGAATGTATAATTTGCTATACCAAACTCGTGCATTATTCCATCCGTCATCTCCTCCACGGTGGAGTCTTCCGAAGCTAGCAAGCTATCGAAGGCAAAGTCCTTACTAGCTTCATAGATACCTTTGATGGTCCTTCTACCCCATTGCATGGGATCGTGAATGCACCCCCAAGCCATGATGCAAAGATCCAAAGGCTCGGAAACGATCGTGCGTTCCTTGAACCTTCTGTCATAAGTTTTCTTTCTTACGAGCTCCACAGACTCGTCCTTCGAGCAGACCATTCTTGACATTTTTCTAAACGGTGCCAAAATAGGCGTTGTAATGTCGTTCTCCAAAACGATCACCTCCACGGTGGAAGCGTTAAAGTTGGGGATTGCTGCAAATCCAGGAATCGTCAGGTCGAACTCCTTGCACCGGCATTTCCTTTTCTCTTTGGCGACCCATTCTGTCAATTCAATTAGGGATTTTTCGGACTCGGATGTGTCATCATGTTGGATTTTCTCAGCCACCTGAGGAGGCTCCTCGTCTGAACTCTTGCAAGAATCAACCTTTCGGCACTTCTTCCTTCTGCGCCGCTTTTTCACCTCCGCATGGGCGATCGCTAGAGAATATATCCTGTAAGGTTTTCCTGCGGACTCTCCTGTATTATTTTTTATTCGTTCGATCATAGAGTTCTCGTCACAAAATTCCAAGAGACAAGCGAATCCGCCTTCGTTGGCGATTCCTTGCTCGTCGCATGCGTACGGATCGAAGAAATAAAATCTGCCGTTTGCATGCCAAAAAGCGTAAGAGACGTTGTTAAAGACTAGAACACCTGTATGATTTTTCTCGAGATAGGTTGATAATGCGTTTGTCAAAATGTCCGCTTCGCAATCTTCGGGGTCGCAATATACTGTTTGTTTCAACATGACGTTATACGTTACCCCAAGAATTTCGATGTTGTGGAACCATCTCAGAGGTTTGTACCTAAGCTTCCCTGTGTGCTGATAAATCTTATCACCGGCTAAAATAAACTGATCCAGGATGCTGCCCCGGAAGTTGTCAACATCCATACGAATTTTTGCAAGGATACATAGTATCGCGGTGTAGTAACATACTTTGAAGTGGCAATTCTCAATCTGTTGTCTGTTTTCTAAGCACATGTTTGCTTCGATTACCCCAACGTCATTGTGCACCTTGAATCCGCAAGTTTCTGGGTCAGCTGATTCCTTCGATTTTTCCTCAGGTTTGTCGGGCTTCATTCGTACACTTGAGATACTTTTCCTCTTCTCCTTGCCAGAGTCTTTTTTCTTCTTTTTTACTATCGGAGGGTTTTCCTGAAAAAGAAACAAGAGTAAATATCCCCAAGAAACTGCAATGATTATAATGGTAATTTACATTTCTGTGGTATAATTTTATCGGTTCAAAATATGATTAAAAATATGAAATCATCTTTAACACACCCACACACACATATAGCCTTAATATGTAAAATAATCACCTTATCATTCTTTCCACTTCCTGGGAATATCAGATCCATCAACACATCTTCGGTATTACATATTATCTTCTCCAAAACAGCATCTTCCCTAGACTTTGGACAGAGTCTACAATTTCGCTTTTTCATTTCCAAACAAGATTTTGCTTTTTTCTTCGGCGTCAAAGTTTTTATGGTAGGTCCCAAAGGAATAATCGAAGGAGTAATGCACACACCGGTAGGTATTTCCGGAATTTCTTCTACTCGCATTTCTTCTTTTCCGTTTTTATTCAATTTCTTCTTTTCGCACTCTTTCTCCCTCGCCTTGTCCAAGTCTTGATCTTGTATATATTTGTCGTGAATAGCCCTGAGAGGAATAAATCCAATCGGTGGTGTCCTCGAGATCAAGTACTTTTTGGGATGAAGTTTAATTAGTTTCGTAGGCTTTTGTTCCTTGGCGACATTACTGATTGCCGCTTCAACAACTGGCTGAACAGTTGGCAAATCGGTTCCTTGTTTTACAGCCAACTTCGAGTCGACGGAGAATCTGGAGACCAAGGAATGTATCGATTTTGTAGCATGCTTTGCGTCTAAAAGAAGACATAACACTTTCCGTCGAGGTAAAACGTAAGGTCGTGGATGTTGGTACTTCAGCTTCTCGTAAACGACCGCTTCACTTGGTTCTTCGGCAATGTCGTCATCTTCCTGTTCTATACTGACGCTACCTGTTAAAAGACATAAATTTAATGGGCTGGGTGTATCCGCCTGATCCCGTTCTTTGACTGGCGTCAGGGGATCTTCCAAGGGTTTCTCCACCTCCGATGGTTTATCCTCCTCAGCTTGGCCTTCGTTTTCTTTTTCTTCCTCTTCTTCTTTTTCGCCGCCTTCATCTTCCTCGTCCTCAGCGCCTTCTTCATCATCATCTTCTCCCTTTTCTTCTTTTTCTCTTCCGTCTTCCAACACCCCGGTAGGGTCTGGTTCTATTTCGGGAACGGGAACGATTAGATCTTCGTCAGTAATGGGTAAAAATTTCGTCTTATATCTTTCCATGAAATCCTGTTCAGGTACTTCAATGGAGCTCTTAGCGACGTATTTGTCTCCGGGTTGAATTGCTTCAATTCCGATGAAATGGAAGAAAAACAAAGGATCATTAAACTCCAAGATCCCATAGAAAACGTCCGTCAATTCATTAATGGTGTCCGTTACCAGGAATGAAGCAGGATAGTCTCTAAATCTCCATCCTTCCTCCTCGGCACCGTACGGATTAAATACGAAATACTTGTCTTCAGCTTTCCAAACTGCATACATGAGCTTTTTATTTTCTACGATTAACTCGTCGTGCCTTTTGAAGTAACTTTCGAATCCTTCGCCCAGATTAGCTAAAGGATTTGCATCGCCCTCTGCAAAATTCATCTTCCTCTTGAAGAAGACCTCGTTATCATCCAACGTTACCTTATCAGGAAGCATAGACACGTCAAGATGACTCGGTGCAGCTTGAAGGGCTCCTTTGGAGTCGGCGACACCTTTTTCTCGATCTCCTTCTCCGCCTTCTTCGGCATCCTCATCCTCTTCCTCGCCTTCATCTTCTTCATCCGCCTCCGTCTCTTCTCGCCCTGCTTCCTGGGGATCTTTTTTCTTCTCCTGTGGGCTCCCCTGCCGAATCCAGACAACAGTATCTTCATAAGCCTTATTCCCAAGGTCAATGATCCCATCAACGTCCAAATTCCTCCACTCATAAGTCGGCTTCATCTTCGCATATGCCATCGCTGCCAAAGCTATAGTCAATCCTTGCCTTCCTCTTGATTTGTCTTCAAATTCCGTCGACAAACAATTTTTGGATCCTCGAAGTAGCAGTCGATGGGGATTGATTATCTCGTAACCAGACAAAAGTTTGACGCTGTCCGGGGGCATGGTGTCAACTCCCTTGGAAGTGTCATTTTTTCCTCCACCACTTTCAGGTGTGTCCCCTTCACCAGATTCCGTGTTTTTGGCTGTTTCCGGGTTCACAGGATTGATTTCCTTGTTTTTAGCTTCCTCCATATTCGCTGGACTGACTTCTGCGTAGGATGTGGGCTCGTCGTCCTTCGACACGTAGTCTTCCACGTTTTGCATCAAATCGGGAAACTGAGTCCAGACGTCCTTAAATCTCTCAGCTTCGGGTCTGGGCTTTGGTGTCATCTCTAGGACCGTTTTGCACTCGTTCAAAGTCTCGTCCTGGAACGGGGGCAAAACTAACTGCGGCCTCCGATTAGTCCTTTTTTCACGATATATCACCCTGTCCCAAGAACCACCGGGTATTGTTCCGGTTTTCACGTACAACACACGAAGACCATGCAAAATAAACGGGTCCTTTTCCTTGTTCCCGGTGTTCTCCAAAATGGTTTCGACGATTTCGTTCACCGAGCTGTTCATGGTAACGCAGGAGAAGGCCTTCTTGAATTGTTCCGCCTCTTCGGGGTCTTTTTCGTCGACGCGAAATCCTTCCCCGTCGCAAGGAAAGGGGTCGAGAAAGTAGTACTTGTCGCCATCTTTCCAGAGGGCATAAAAAACCTTTTTTATTTCGAGAATCCCGAGGGAGTTGGTCGCAAAGAAATCACGGATACCCGAATCTAAGGTAGCTTTACCCTTCTTACCCTGACCCGGTATTACGTTTACTTCTACCTTTACTTTCGCAGCATACACTCCTAAGATCACATCTCCTATCAGGTCCTCTACCTTGAGTTCGAACGAATCGTCCAATTTCTTCTCCAGGACTCTTGCCAAGTCGACCAGGTATATATGAGCTTCATTAAAAATTAGATCGATCATAGCTGAAGTCCATTTATTGGCGTTGATTAAACGGGAATAGATCAGGGCAGCTAGAGCTATTATCAAGTGACTCTTCCCTTGGAACTCTTTCGGAATAGCTGTATGCAGTAGATGATAAGATCCACGGACTAAAGCTCGAAATTTAGCTTGTATTTTGTATCCGCTCGGTCGTCTTTTAGGCTTTCCTACAGATTTTTCCGGCTCTTCGGGGTCTTCTTTTTCCAGGGGCAACTTGCCAATCCCTCTAATTGATATTCCGTACAATACAAAGGGTTCGTCGTTAACGTGACTTTTTTCCAAAATTATGAAAATAACCCCTATCAGGTCTCGCACTAAGATCAACTTTGCTGAGCCATTTTCGCCTTCTGCGGCAGGTTCGCAGTTTTCCTTTCTGGGTTGACCATCGAAAATGCTGTAGAATTTGGATTCTTTCCAAATCGCGACTTTCAGTTTTAGGGATGTTAAAATCCCCGCATCGTATCTTTTGAAAAATAACTCCAGTGCTTTTATTAGATGCAATTCGGTGGGATTTTCGGAGCGAAAAGTACCCGCGTAAGCGGCATCGTCAATGGCTACGTGCACTTTGTGGGTCTTCTGTACTTCTAAGTCAGTTTTTAGATCCATTATCGTTAAATTTCGGCGATCATCGGTGTCTACTTCTTTGTAAGATTCACAATAATAGGTATCGCCATCGTCGATAATTTGATCTATCACCAACTCGTTCCAACATCGAGATTTCAGAAGAGCTGTCGTTGCATATGCTGCTACTGCTACTGCCTCACCCTAAAATAAGTATAAAAATATATTTAAAAATGGTTTAATTCATTACTTAGTTATCTTTATCAATATTACAAATTTTACGAAAAAAGTTTACGTGTCATTTGGAAAATACCTGGTCTTATCAAGGACTAATAATTTAGATATGTACTATGTACTTGTTTCTCAACAGTTTTCGACATGTTTATATATCTAAAATCTACTGAACACTTGTTCAGTGTGGACGAATGTGTATGTAATTAATATCAATACAGTGGCAAATATACTGATATCATATGCTTTTACTTGAAATCCCCTTGAAAGAGGAGAAAACTTTTTCATATTTTGATGAGCCACGCCGGAACGCATTCCATATTTAACACAAGGTGGTAAGTTCGGGTCAATCTTGGTAAGTGAATAAGTATCTCCGGGAAGATTTAAAACGTCAATAAGTCTTTGATACTCTTCGTCGAGGTCTTGATCGAATTCGTCGCTACTGGATCTATTGCCTTCATCGTCTATTACACCCCCTGCAATTCTTCCCAAAGCGTTGACTTCCTCTTCCGGTAATAATTTGTCGCACTCGCAAAGGTCTCTCAACCTTTTTCTAACTTCATTTCTGCGAGCAATTTCAACTTCGTCTAATGGTTTATTCTTATCACCGTCGCCCTTTTTATCAGTCATTATTGCACGAAATAATCCGCCACCTAATAATTACATCCCCTAATATATTATTATTATATATATCATTATACATTATAATTAAATAACATAGTCAAATCATTCGTTTGTATAATACGCGTGAAAATCTGATATTTCAATTAAAACATGCCATTATGAACAAACGATACGAAATAAAATGTCTATGTCTTACCAATGGAAAGCAAAAGTCTGAAGTAATAATTGTTGAGGGTGCGTGAACCCTAGTTAACAGTATGAATATTTATACAGATGGTTTGAAATACGTTACGATACATATATTCACAATACATTATCTACTTTTGAAGCGAATGTCAAAAATGTATAATCTAATAACTCACATTTCTATTTTATCATATATATTTTCGGAAAATTGTGATAACCAGTTTGAGGAGGTCGTACTCTTGCTTTTTTGCTCACTTGACAATTTTGACATGAATAGATGGAACGGATAATTGATATGCAGAACTTGGATGAAATCGATAAATATTAATTGTCAAGAAAAGAATGTGAGTATATTAAAAAGCTGTATTCATTCCGTAGAGAAAATTCGTACAACGTCACCGTACCTTTTCATTTAAATGCTTACTTCAATCAACAGAACGTCATTTAAACAAACACAAGGAGAATGCATTTGATAATAAGTTCTGACCCTTCAACACGACATTTCAAAATTAATGTCCACGTCAAAATCGCCTTAAAATACCAATAAATTAATCTAAGGCAAATCGAAAATGTAACAGTTACCCGGGGAACGTCAAAATTTACATATTAGAATCAGTGATGCAGCAAATCTCATTACACAAACGGAACGTCAAGATAAAGAATATCCAGACTTAACCTTCGGAAATGCAGCGCAGAAATCGTAAACAACGAATTGCAATTACCAGCAACAATTTTTTTCAAGATGAATTCCCAGTAAAGAGGAAAATAAAGTTGTACGCAAGAACTTCTTGCAAGTCTGAATTAAGCTATTACACCTCGCTAATGACCAGACCGCCCCAGTATTAATTCAAAATATGTGATATGATCGTCATTGTACGACTTGTGGACCTGAATAGCAAATCCCTGAATAGCAAACACGTGCAATAATTTAAGTACGTGAGTGGTATAATGCGTTTCCTTATATGTGCTCTTTACCCCTTTCCTGGGTCCCCACGTGGCGGATGTTAAAAATACTTGTACATTTAACATCTACAATGTAAATTAGACAACGATACCATTCGTGCCCACTTCCTTGCAGTCGCATAAATCCGCAGGAGTTGAAGAAACTCGAAACAACTTCCACATCCGAGGTCGCAGATATTTAACATTCAGCATGAATATGCGACATAATTGCTGCAAATATTGGGCGGAGGAAAAGCGGAAAGCTCAGAAGAAGGACAAAAGGGAAAAGAAAAAGGGCGACGAGGAAGCCAAGTTTCCCTGCGAAGAAACTAACCCGAGGGTCGAGAAAAGATCGAAATGCAAGAAACGCAAGAAGAAATGGAATAAAAAATGTTCGGACGATGTTACGATAGATACAGATCACATAATCCCTAGAATTGTACCTCCTGTAGATGTCAGAACAAAGTACATGTATCCGCGTCATGTCAATTGCTGTTTGGAACAGACGGAAGAGCCTTGCGAAGAGAAAATAAAGAAGAAGAAACCTTGTGCTAAAGAGAGGACTGTGAAACGTAAAGTGGACCTTTTTATTGTTGTATATAAGCTCAAATATAGAAATATTAAGAAATTAAGGGAATATATACACCTAGATGTCAAAACGAATTTGAAAATCGCATGTTAGAATAATACATACTCAAATGCTGTTAAGGAAGTCATTTTGTTACGGTTTATTCCCACTTAAACGTCATTTAATTATTTTATAAGCGGTAGCTTACATGTAATCAGTATTTTTTTTTTCTTTCTCAGATAAGAAAATAAAGCGAACCAAGAATCAGGGCAAGGCTGGAAGTTCCGGAAAGGCTAAAGATCAGACGCAAGAAAAACAGGCAGAAAGTGGTGAAGGGCCAGACGTTTCAAAAGAGATCGAAGGAAATGTGGAACAGGATGAAGAAATTAAAAACTCGGAGAAAAAACAGATTAAACGCAGGAAACCGAATTTCTGGTGTAACAAGGTGATCAAGAAGAAGAAACAGGAAGGCGCGGTAGAAGAAAAATACAAGGACGAAACATGCGCGTCGATTTGCTCTTTCGACAGTGAAATATGTCTTGCAGGTAATATTCGCGTTATCGCACGGTAACTGCATTAAAAACTGCAAATCATGAAACTAGTTACTAATTGCACTATCGTTAAAGTCGAGAGAGTTCAATTTTATAGCATGCGCGATGTGTTTATCGTAGTAACCGATTATGCGAACGTTATGTCCTTTTATGATGATCGATAAATTAATTCCGTCAGATTCATGTAAATGAATGACTTAACAATAAAAATGAATGGTAATGCCGAAACATTAAAATAAATCTTGATATATAATTTGTTCATTTAATAGGTTTAACCCTAACGAAGAAAGAAATGAAAAAAATTGAAGAAAACCGCCATCGCGTTCGTCCTCATCTAGAAACTGGAAAAAAGGGAACTGATAATCTGGAAAGTGCTGAGGAATCAGGCGATAAAGTTGCTTTGGAAACTGAAGAGGAAAAGGATGAACTCAAAAAAGCTGACGATGAAAATGCGTAATTGATAAGAAGAAAATCAAAGCAGGCTACAGAAATCGTTTTAAATAATAATGGATGTGGAATACTTTAAGGAAAGAAGCAATCAAATAAAACGAAATTGAGTAATTACAAAGACGGAATTTAAAGACAATAAATACGAAGGCACAAATAAACTAGGAGATATAGGAAACGTGTGACTAAGCCAACATGAAGACCAAAATGACGCCCAAGCAACGTGAAACGCAACCGCAAAGAATTCTTTTTCATAAAAATATTTCAACAATAAGGAAAATGGTACTTATAAAGTCATAAGGAAATAATCAGAAAATGTATTTAACGAAGAGTTAATAATAGAGATAAATATCAAAATAAATGCCGCATCACTGTGTCTACGATAGACTGAAGGTTTTCTTATGGAAAGAGTGAAAGAGAAAACAAAGAAAAGCAGTAATGACAAATCTAAAAGAATCAGAAGTATTTAATAATCCGAGCAGAACCGAAGTCGAGGAATAGACTGCAAATATCCATGAAACCACCAAAAAAACGAGATCAATCTGACCACCAACGCGGAATCCTGCAACGTAGGAAGCCGATGACGACGCCGCCGTATAATAAGACAAAATGGACATCGGAAATTTCGGCAATTCGGGAGAAAGGAAGGATAGCGGGGAAAAAAACGGCGAAGAAGTTGATGTCGACTAATCGTTGACCTTACTGCGGAGAAGAGAGAGATGGGGGACATAAAACTGCTAATTACATCGATCCAAAGCCGCATTACTCGGTGACGTCGCAGTCCGTTCCGCGGAACCGAGCTTCTAGATTGCTTTTTTTTCGAAATCCTCCCATCGCAAGTACAAAGTTCGGCTTGTGTGAATCTGAACCGGTTTCTGCGCCGACTGCAGGTTCTTGTATCATTTCAAGGCTAAGTCCTAACCCCGAGGAGACTCGTCGGGTCTCCGATTCGCAACGAGATCCTGCGACAGGATCTAACGAACGATCTCAAAGGCTCGTGGGGAACACGAGGAGTCGATAAAATGGAGACCGAAAATAAAACATTTCGTTTCGGGTTATTTTCCATGCCCGGTAATAAAAGTCTCGGCGTCATCGACCATTCCGCAAATTCTCTTGTCTATTATAATTGACGCTCTAGGGATTTAGTGCGAGTCCCGAATAAATGCTTCCCCTCTGAAACGAATCGGACAGATGGTTTCTTAGTATTTTATAATAATCTTGACGTATTACGTAAGAATAAATGTATTTCTGAACAGCTGACTTAAAGGGAAGATATATTGGGTGATGGTATTCTTTTTATTCGTTGTGTGAAATTAAATTCCCGATGCTACATGAACCGTCCACTGGCCAAATCGATTTACTCCACAAAAAAAGCCGAGATAATGGATGAATATAAAAAGTTAAGTATCATTCAAGCACTTTGATACTAAAATTCAACAAAATCCTTATGTGGTGTTAATCAGTTTGACCTGTGGAAGGCTTATATAAAGCTATGCTATTATGTCTTAGATGACAAAAATGATATTGTAAAATAAATACCCTTATATATTGTATATACAATATACAAAACAAGAGATAACATCAAAACTTAAAATTTCCACGAAGTATAATTGCATATTTATTGAAACCGCCGTTTCATCACATTACAGCGATATAGTTTAATTGCATTAAAATGACATAATATTGATACGGTTCATAATTATAAATGTCAAATATTAATACTTTATCAATACATATAAATCAAGAAATATTTTCTATATATTATTTATAGTCATAATCCCGAGGCCAAATACTGGTGACCAACTCTGTCCCAAATCAAGTTTTCTCAGTTTGGAATAACCAAAAGTGAAACTCCGGATCCTAATAAACAGTAAATAGCTCGACTCTCGTTTTGCGATATTCCTTGATAATCAATGTCTTAACAAACTTTATGGTCAACTGGCCTCTACCAAAAAATGGGGTTACACACTTTTTCTCTATGATGGGGTACCTCTTATCATTGACACAGGATCGCTCTTAGTGTGTTGAGAATCTACCCCCAGACCCAAATAGATAATAGGCCGTCCGCGCGCATGTAAAGTCCTTATCATTTTACTGAGATATGTCGAGTTTTATCGAAGTATATGTCTAACGAGAGTCTTTCGTAAATCCGTAACGTCCGACCGATCCGTTCAGTGGGTGCATCGTTCTTGACCGAATCGCTCGATTCCGGGCTGCGATTTCACCATTGAAATCGTCGTTTAATTTGAAATTTTAATTCGACTCCTGTTTGCATTTAACAAATGAGTGTCGCGTTCGCGTAAGGAACTTGTCGGACCTCTTCGTACAAGTAACATGACTCTGAAGATGTTCTACTGCCCAAGGATCTCCATCAGTAAGTGGTACTTCTAGCATTTCTCGGCAATGTTGAGATCCCATATTTAAACAAATATTTAATAAGGAAACGAAATAACAATAATGGAAGGTTCCAAAATCAGTCTAAAAAATTGGTACAGAGATATTAAGTGATGTCTTGATAAACACATGAATGAAATTGTGATACAGATACACCAAGTACAGGAAACAAAGTGCTGAACTCCCGAATTTTTACTTTATTTTGAATTAGACAAGGGTCGAATACCTGGAAAATAAAACAATCGGCTAAATCAGTATATCAGAGAATGATAAGACTATTGGAATACATTTCAGTTATCACGTTGATGAATGGAAACTGGTACGAAGTAAAGAAGTACCAAATAATTGATTGGTAGATGCGAAACATCGTAAGTCTAGTGAAAAGTATTAATCATTTTTCATGAGATTCATTGCCTTTCCAAAAAAAACAATTTTGTAAAAGTGTTGATAATTTGTCAGTCTGATACTTCTTAATTAAGATACATATAAAGTACCTACTTCCAGATATAAGATACTACCAAAGCGTATGAAAGAATAAATCCTTTTCGGACTTATGAAGACCGCTCCGGTACTTCTCGATCGGTGCTAAAGATACTTCTTGCATCTTGTTGTAAACTTATTCTTAAAAATACACTCGTAAGTGATTGTAAAATTTAGTCATTTAAAAAATTGTAACAGTATGTTATAAAACCATATTTTTATTTAAAAGTGTATAATAAATGTGTATCGATTCACTTTTAAGATACTAAACTCATAATTTTAGTACAACCTTATATACTACAAATGCGTGAATTTTATGAATATTATTTAAAGATATTTCAGTTAAATGTGCTCAATTTTTTAGTTTAGCTACATTTTTATAAGTCTGTGAGAGCTGAATATAATCTATCAATTTAACGTTTTCGAATAATTTAGATTTCTATACAGATTATCTAGACTTCTATAATATATGTACTGAAATTTTGGCGTGAAAAAGATTTACATATATATATTCACGGGATATTTCTATTATGCATACCATAGATAATGTAAGTTTTCTATACTCATGTCCTAATTTGTACGTATACTATAAGTATATTATACTTCATACGGTGCCTGGTAATACATAATAATTTACACAGTGGTTAAAAATCATGATGTATGGTCCCCAGCCAAAGAGGAAGTAAATAAGAAATCAGAGTATGGACGAAATTAACAGTTTTATCAAGTTGGAATTTTAATATAAACATTAAGTATCTATGAAAAATGTTAGGTTACATGAGGTGCCTTTTTATTTTTCTTAACGTATTTTTAATGATATGATTAACCTTTGGTAGACGTCTACTAGAGCTATTATATATTTTGTACGCTTCAAGAAATAAGTAGATATTTGTAGATATATAATTTTCATCTATAATAGACATAGATATTTATATATATCCCTTAGATATTTTTTTAGGTGGATGATAGACAATATACATTTGCTATACCTATAGACTTAATTTAGATGATTAATTTACGTATATTCCACTGCATGGGTTGCCTGGGAACATTCATACATGTTGCGTTCTGCATTGACGTCTGTTATAAACTCTGGACATTCTTTTACAAGACAGACGAATGATATTGATGAAGCAGTTTTAAGTGATTGAAATAAAATTCTTATTAACTACGCCGCATGTCTAGCTCGTGTGTTAAGTTAAATAACCAATGCTCATGCACTCGCGTCACTGTCGAAGTGTTAATTAAGGAGCGATCTCAACGTTTCGTATGTCATTAAAAATTATGCGAGCTACTAAGGTCACCATATATTGCATAATTCTTCTTTCTGTCTTACTGCGATACGAAAACTCGTGGATGAAGCTTACCAAAGGCAATAGCATTTCCATTTTTCTACATTTGATCCGAACGTTCTATTTTTTCTTTAATTTCCTAATTCCCTACATTACCAAGTTTACACATGACTTGAAGCATTATAACTATGCTATAAAAAATCAATTATTGGGGCGTGAATCGATGAAAGACAAAATAGCGTTTTTTTCTTGTGCTTCGTTTTAAGAAATGTTACGAATCGATTTTTTTTATTTTCAGTGCTTAGTAAAGAAATGTTGTTATTGACAAATTGCAGGCACTCCCAAGGATGAGAAGAGCTGTGAGAAAGAAGTCCAGAAGAAGTACGACTCAGACGTGTACCACGTCTCGAAAGGAATCGGGGATATTATACTTTTCAACGAGCCGACTCTGCCATTGCAGCCATCATCTAAAAGTAACTATGGAATATCAACCCTGGAATATCCCATTAGACATATATGGACCTATCAACGACAAGGAGGAACTGGGGTGCGGAATATTTTTCCAGCAATGCTGATGGCGAGATCGATATCTCTCATTTCTGGTATAGTAAATAGTTTCGAATCTTTTTTCAAGTGCCAATTTCTCTGGACTCCACACTGTGGTATGTATACTTTACTCACATTTGTACTAATCCTTATCGTAGTTTCCGAAGCATCTTCTTCTACCCGGTACATTAATTTATCTTAAGCATATTTATTGATTTTTGTATCCAAGACTCAATACAAAATTACTCATAAATCATACATAATTTCAAAGAACATCTTGATAAACAATCTGGGAATTTTCACTAACATAGTCTAATCATTAAATTACATTCCGGTCGATATCAGTTAGAAATTAACGTAAACGATATGAAACAACTCATTATTTGAGATAAGAACAATGAGATCGCCTCTCTCTATATATATATTAATGACTTCATTATTGTATATATACATAAGATACAACTGCTGAAAGTCCTAAATTTTATCTTTCCATAGTGTCAATAGTAGTGACACATGCAAACAGTGTGAAGCTTCTCCACCCATATAAACGAAATTATATTCATATGTTTAATGATTTATTTAGTGAAGATATTTGATTGCTTGCACTTACTCGCGTTACTTACAATTGAAGCTTAAATTACGTGTGTATTTCTTGTTTCTATATTTTTTATACAAGCGATCTCCGGCGGGTACATATGTACAGCAATCGACATTACTCGCAACCGTGACAAACCGAATATTGACGTGATTATGTGAACTTGCGTCATTTGAAATGAATACGAGTTGTCGCCGCGTGCAGACCTTAATGTATTATCATCGTAATGATCGCGCGAATTTATCCAATATGAGTTTCATCCCCGACTGTTTATTATTCGAACCGCTCTTTTTAATGAGCTGCAATCTTGGAAATTCCATCTCTAGCAGGTGACTCGCGAAAGGCTAGTTTCTTTCAGCGTTGCAAAGCAGAAACTCGGAGTCAACGTTTCGACAGGTATCGATGATAAGAGATACCGCAAACAATTATGCAAGGAAATTTGTTTTTCGACCGATGCTCCAATATTCACAATATATGTATACAAACGACATGCAACTCTCCCCACTTTCGATAACCCTTGCGGCGAGCTTTCTTATGTTGCGACAATTCGGCGCGTGATTACATTGTTGTAAACATGAAAATACTGTTGTTGCGATAAGACGTCTAATTGGACTGACACCAATCGCAATTAATTCTGTTCAACCATGTCCAAACGTTTTCATGACTTTACGCGGACTGTTCGCAATAACATGAAATTACAGATGACGTTGGAAATCCGAACTTTATAAAAACAGAAAAATAAACGCGTATCTAATTCTACCGTCTAAGCACTTCTTAAATGACACCTTCGATCTGTGCCAGGGAAAGAGGACTCTAATTCACGAATCGAAAAAAAAAAGAACAGATTCTTTTTCCACGGAAAAACCTCGCAATCTTCCAACGTGTAATATGATTAGCTGACATCTCTACGCCGTAGATAAAAATTCACAAAAAGTGATTAATAATATAGCCACTAGGAATCTAAGACCCACTCCGTTATTCGTGAGGCAATTAATCATTCGACAAAAAACTGAAATATGCGCAGATTGACGTTTGCGTCCAAGTCTAATCTGCAAAATGATATAAACGTTGGCATTCTCTCCTTAAAATTCTCCTGACAGTATTTATCATTTATGTGGAATAAGTTTACGAGATTAATACCGCATTACTCACCAGATGGTGCATGGATTTAATTTATACTTAATATCTTTATCAACCTGATTAATCATTATCGTACCACAGCGATTTTATCGGTATAACAATCACTAATGTATATCAAAATGTAATTCAATTCCATTGACTAAATATTGCTTGATTAAGAATTTCCATGGAAGAATTTCAATAAATTCCCCAGTAAGTAATTCCACGTATTGGTGATTTTTGACAATATTTCCACAGGATATCAATCGCGCTGCGGTTTGTTACCGCAACAGAAAATATGCCGGTTTTATTGTGGCTGCATACAAGCACGGTATCATGTGTTGAGGTTATATTCAGGATTCCCTTATAATTGTGAGATCTTGTACATCCAGATGCTATTTGTCGTCGGGAATTCCACCATTGACGTCACGAGCCCCCGAGGTAAAAGAGAGCTTTGCAATTTCCAATAGCGGCAAACCCGTATATAGCACATGAATATATTACCGGGTGGCTTACAAAGTATATAAAGAGATCGATCGTCGATAGCCAGTCACCGTTATTTCCCTTCAAAGGAAATAGCCATATTTATCGGTAATCGCACGCGTCTACGTATTTTTAAATAGATTAATCCGGAGCTCCTCAAATATATTCCTGACGTTTCATTTTATCCTTTGATAGACGATTCCGGGAAATCTTTGCGATCAGGAAAATTCCATAATCAACAGAAGTTGTAAAAAGTTTCATTACCCAACAACAGAAAATACATAACGTTGATCTTATTTATATTCATACCTAGCCAAAAAAGCTGTAGTACCTGAAAGTCAAGCTATACATACCCGATAACCACGTGTATTGTTTAGCATAGTGAATGGAGACTATGACCATAACTCAGTGATAACGAGTATTTTTTCAACCAAAATTGAGTCACTGCAATTTTACACTATCCTGAACAATATATGTTAATCTCTGATTTGCACGATTTTTATTTTTAAGTGTTGCGGTTTTTTCGCGACCAGTGTATTCTGTACTTACGTTTCATTTCATCATTTGATAGATGATTACAGGAATTCTTTACGATCAAACAGTTCTCTAACCGACAGAATTTCCACAAAATTCCTTTACCCTTAACGTGCACTTGCGTTAAATGCGTTTTAATAAAAGTAAGTTTAAAAGAGAATGGAAAGGTACACGAAAGATTTGCTGATGAGCCTGGGTTATTTAATGTTTAATCGAGAATATAAGGTAATAATATTTGAAATTATTTAAAAATGTAGAGTTGTTGATGAAAATTTGTGTAGAAAATTCCTGATTTATCTTTGCGATATACATGACTCTGGTTCTGTTCCATTATTTTTATAAATGTTAAATGATGTTTATTTTAAATTTTCCTTAAAACATAAAATAAATCAGACCGATAAGAAAATATTCCCTATACCTTTTCATTCTCTTTTAAACACACTTTGATTAGAAGACATTTCACAGCCTACTAACCCCCTTAAGTAACGTTACTCCCGTTTATACATTTATATGCAGAATTCAATACAAGATCCCCATTGGTCCACCAGAAAAATCTTCCTAAATGCATACATATTTTCTACACCAGGACCTAAAGGAAATATTCCTAATTTCCCCCTCCGGAGCCTCAAGGACCATACACTCTTACACCTCTTTTCCATCTTCATTCTTGGTCCACATCTGAAAATAGTCCAAAAATAACTTAACTTTCTATCAAGCGAAAATGGGGCTGCGTCCCAAATTCGGACGCCGCACTAGTTTGCACGAGTTTCGAAACTCAAGAACACGTGGTCCATCATCGATTTGCAATTTCGTGATGAACCTCGTAACAGCATTAATCTTTATTTGCGTCATGAGCTTCTTCCATGTATTCGTTACAAGTATCGGACGTCTTTGGGATAAGGCGTAATTATTAATCGACAGCTAACAATTCGACATTACTTTATCTTGGCTTTCGATAATTCCTTTTCAATGACACGTCTCCAACTCCGATACCATGCCCGAAAACGACTAATGCAAAAATCGCTGTTATGTTTTCTTGCAAATCCGTAACTGACATCCATTGCATGCGTGCGCACGTCACAGGGCGGCGCATTTGTAGATTTGCAAAAAGAGACTCTAAGGATCGTGACATATCGTTTGTTATTCTTTTGACAGACGTGCCACTGTACACTAAAGCTGGACCAAACGTGACCAAGACGTATTGATGTATCGAGAAAGTGTAAAGCCGGGTCGGGGACGTGAGAAATGCAACTGTAGATTGATAGGCTTATCGGCCCTATCGGCGCGACCGTGACTTTAATCGAAGAGGGATGGACAAAATATTATCTTATTAATATTCTCCCTTCCGTCCCTTCTTTCAGTAAAATATTAATCTTTTTATTAGTCTTCATGTCGAATAATTAATATTGGTAACAGGTGTATACGATTCGATACTTATTAACTTAACCTATGAGGTGCTTGACAAATATGATAACTTCTTTAAGATCTAACAAGATATGAATTTTATAAGATATTAATCTTTTTGGTCTAACTTTGACAAGTACAAGGAACTGGTTATCTTTTAGTTAAAAGACGTAAGATCACAATCTTGTTATTTAGCATAACTGATGCAAATTAAGCAATTTCTTGTGTGTTTATACGACACGATACAAAGTTATCGATTGTGGGTTATCAACTTAATGGCTCGTCAAGCGTTTTCCTCGTGTGATAAATTTTAAAATAAGTGCAAAAAATATAACACTTTTCCCCGGTATTAAGGAGATTTTTATCGGAGAGCAAATAACATGGATTCACGTGAAGTAACGTTAAAAATGATTAAGGATTTATAACGCGGTATTTTTAATGGTTGATAAAATTAGTGGAATCTAATAATAATAGTGCGTAAGGAATTTAGGAGGTCTGCCGATGTCAAGATCGGATGAAACGCAAAAAGAAAGGTAAATCCAAGGGCTCTACCGCACATCCTTAGCAAGGACGGTGAGTGAAAAGATCCAGAGATCGAAGACCCTAGACATGGTCTCGACAATCGATTTCATTAAAGAATAATTTACAAAATAACTATAATATTCATTCCATTCTGCGTGATTAGTATAGACGAGATTTAGAAAACTTACAAATTTTAAAGTCGCAAAGGAAAGTGGAAAATCAAGAACTACCATTACCTACATCCTTAGCAAGGATGGTATGTGGAATGATCCACGAACAAAACTCCAAAATATTCTCTTGACGATTGATTTCATCAAATTATACCGTAAAAACTGACTATTCTATTAAACACCGAACTAAAATAAGAAGAACTTTTTAACAAGGGATTCAGACGGTGCGGCCTGCCGATTTTAAGCTCGAATCGACCGCAAAGAGAAAGGTATAACCATGAGTTACCACTACCCACAACCTTAGCGAATATGGCGCGCGGAAAGTTCCAGGGTCCAAAGGACTTAGACGTTCTCTTCGCCACTCATTTTGTTAAATAATGACTTAAAAGATTCTTAAATCACGCGTTAAACGTCACAAGAAACAGGTATAATTATCGTTGAAAAGATTTAGACAGATTTTAAGTTGCAATCCAAGGCAAAAAGGAAGATTAACCATAAACAATCATTAGTACACTTTTAGCAAAAATGGCGCGCGGAAAGTTATAGGAACCAAACAACTGAAACATTCTTTTGATCACTACTTTTATTAAATAATAACTTAAGAGATTAATAAATTACTCTTTAAATACGACAAAAAGCGCGTGTAATTTTCGTGCATGTAGTTTAGATGATCTATAGATTTTAAGCTTGAATCTCAAAGACAATAAAAAAAAGTCATAACCAAAAGCGCAATTGCATCCTTATCAAAGCTGGCGTACAGAAAATTCTAGAAACAATAAACTGAAAAATTCTGTTTCTAATTTGATTAAATAATAGCGTAAAGGATTACTGCGTTTTTCCTTAAGCGCAACGAAATGATGTGCAATTTTTATACAAGAGATGTAAACGGCCTACTGAATTTTAGTCCGAATCAAAGGTTACGGACCAAGCACAAGGAAAAAGGTATGCCTAACCAAGGAATATATAATTAAAAAGGAAGACGTGTGGGGAGGTCCTGAGATCGAAAAGCTGAGACATCCACTCGATGGGCAATTTCCGCGTGCGTGATCGCGATCGCGAAGCTTCTTATATAGTCAAAAGTTGCGTTGGCAAAAAAGTGTCCCGATTATATGAAATCATGACGTGCATATCGACCGAAGTCCTTCCCCTTCAACTGACAATTACGCCTCGCTAGTCTGCCACTTAAAGGTTTTTTTCGAAAAATTCGCAAATGATGGATTTCCTTTCCCTCGAGAAAACCTGATTACTCGGATTACGACCTGCACCTCCCCGGTGTAAATGAATTTCGCCTTCTAAGTGAGTGTTCGCAATGTATCACATCTTTGGAGGTAAACGTGTTCTACTTCACCTACTACATTAACTTCCCGAAGGCCGCACGCCACCATAGGAAATTCTAAAAACCCCTGTGCCCGTGCATACCCTCGTTATCAGTCGCCATGAATGCACTTTGATGTAACGATAAGTGTTATTCGTTCACCGATATCTTCAAGAACGCTTTTATAAATTGTAAGGTACACCCATTGTATGAAAATTGCCGTTAATTGCACAAGTTCCATTAGCTATCACGAAAAATCTGCCATGGGTATCTGTATACACGTACCTATGTGCACATATGTATAAAGCTTCTTTAACCGTGATTAAATCGCGATGTCTACTCTCGAAGCATCATCATCGGTATCTTCCGCCAATTAATGACTCTTTCCAAACGTCATTTACGAGTAAGAGGAGCTGGTGATTAATAATACGCTTTTAGTAAGAAGCAATTTTGAGGGGCAATTTTTATTCACCTTTCAATACCCATACGTCCTTCGACCACTAACGTTAATAAACGGAATTAGTTTATATCAAAGTATCCTGAACATTTATATAAATTCCTCATTTAAATAAATTTTTTTTTTCTAATTCCGCAAGGAATACATATCCAATTCTTGCCAGAATAAATCATTTTGCAGTTTAAAATATCCTGATTCGGATAGATATCCATTGATTTCGATTTTTTTTATGCAGTTTAGACTCTTGCAGGAATATATCCACGTAACCTTTTTCATCGTAACCGCTCGGCGCCGTGATAATTAGTCGTGATAAAGGTATTCCGCAATACGCAAAATATTCAGGCTCAGGAATTTCGCAACATGGATGCCCGAGTTAAATTGGAACAATGCCTTTGCCCAGCGGTACGATACGAGGTTGAAACGATGTCGGAACAAACTTAAAGTTCAACGTCCCGCTTGTGTTTTATCTGACCTTATCATCTGACTTCTTTATTGTGACCCATTTTAGTTTATACGTTTGCAATACTTCATCGCGTATGCTAATTTCTTACGGAGATGCGATCGCGTTCGGCGGAGGAGATTGATGCGTCTTTCGAAAACAAATCCCGTAAACGCTTCTGCTAATGTCATTTCGATAGCTTAACTTGGCAAGTACATTGAGCGTTTACCAAATTAAGAAAAAAAGAAAATCGATTTCTTGACCTTCAGGCCTCGATGGATTAAAGTGGCAAAAGTCATCACCATTTTATATTTACTAATTATATACCGAGGCCGAACATTAATTAGTGATCCTTCGTTTCAGAAAACACAATCACTTAACACTTTCGGCGTAGTTACAAACAAAGTTCTTAGGCCTTCTTATTGAAGCTCGATTGCTTGCTTGCTTGATGCTTGAAGCTTGATTGAAGTGAAGCATTTGTTCTATAAAATACACTTTTTAAAGGAAATTGCAAGATGTAAAAAAGCTAAACGATTTAAATGTGCATAAAATATCATGCTGCGCACTTTGCGAATAAGATTTTTAAATAATTGGCGGTACAAATGGTTTTCTTTATTAGTTGTCTCAATGCAAAATATTCGCATTCGAGGAAAAATAAAGTAGATGTGCGATTATCTTAACGCCTTTCAAATCGGAGCAATTACACGAAAATATGAAAATAAGTTCCGATACATCCAACATTACTATGTAATTGACATTAACTCGCTTCGGAGTACGTTTGCGTTTGTAATTAGCAGGTCTAACCTGACCCGATCTTTCATTCATATCCGGCAAAGAAAATCAACTCTTATCAAAAGAATATGTAATATATTCTTCGGTGCGCATGAGATACATACTTACAATTAGTACACGTATTGCTCATTCGACATCCTTCGGGCACTGTACTACACCTCAATTTAAAATATCACATCTAGCGCAAATTTGACAGCTCAAAAACATATTTCTTTTAAATCCAACAAATTTCGAAATTATGTACTTAAAATAATTAAACTCATAATTTGACTGAACTCTACGTGACGGATTTTTATTTAGATTGTAAATTACACCTTAATGCGATGAACTAATAAATTCTAAAATGTACAAAAAAGTTATTATCCATAATGATTACGATACGCGACATAAATTATTATCTGTGAAGGGAATACTTTCTGAAAAACCTACTTTAGATGGATCATAAATATTTTCTTGCCGCCAGATACATTCAAGATTCGCGAAAAAGTGTACAACTGTAAGCAGTGTTACGAAGCATGAAACTTTGTCAAAGACTTATTTCTCAAGCATGACTTCGATGCCTTGGATAAGGTTCACCTTGCCCTGCTTGCACGTAAGAAACAGGTCCTAATGAGGCTCATCGTGAATGGCTAGGCAGGTGAAGGATACATTCTTAAATCGTGAATTCATTCAATTTCTGCTGATTACACTCGATCGATTAGCATTCGCGAAGAATTTCAGAATTCATTTTTAGAAGAAATCGCAAGGTCGTCTCGTTCAACGGTAGCTTAATAAGTTTCATCAATGACAGCAGACATCTATCAATTAATTCATTATAAGTACAGTTTAATCGTATCAGTAAAAAATCACACATTAAGATTAATTCGCACTTTTATTACCACGATACGTGAGATATGATGTCCGGGACAATGAGACGCGTATACCATTACAAAATTTTTGCATCACAGATACCTCGAGTTAGACATTTTTCTATTTGCCATAGGTGACTTTTTTTACCGCGGTTTTTATTCACACGTCCACAGGCATTGATGGAAGATAAGTTTCCACTGTTTTTTTAATCTGCAAGAAATATCATTCAATACATTGAAACAAAACACAAAAGTGCGGAGTGTCCAACTCGCCTACGTAATTTGATCTTTGACGTACATTGCTGGTACGAAGAATCGCCATGTAATGTACATTTCTGATGACAACAATTCTTCGGTGTGATAACCTCATTGTCGTTATGCCGCGTTACACATATGGAAAAATGGGTTTTTTTTTATTAATGAACATATTTATCAGTGCAGGTATTTAGAGAATTTGGTTTTATCCTGGAATAACCGACTTCGAAGTTTTCTCACTCGTTAAAAGATTGGAATTACCATTTCGGTATGGAATTTTCAGTTTTACAATGCCTATGTTAATACGGCTCCTTCATTTCATGACTTCCTAATATATTCAAATAAACACACTTTTTCACCAACTTGTATATCACTTTTGGTTTACTGATTAAGGTATTAGCCACTTCACATCAATTATTATATTTGTAAGAACTATAAAGTTAACTATAGAGAAATACAATGAATTGAAAAGTACAATAAATTTCGCTTGAAAACACCCATTGTAGGATCTTATATCCGTCGTATTTAAACAATTTGTACCTACAGATTGAGCGGAAATCACTTCTGATTGGTGTCGATTATTCGAATGATTAGAATTACAACAATCTGCACACGACATCCTCTACCACTGTTAGAAGTAATACCCATAAATGCAAAGCTTCGTCGTGAATCATCCGCTTAATTGTAATTTATGGCCATGGGTGTTATGTGCGAGCTTAGAAACCTGCCTACATCTTCCTGTGAAGCTTCAATTCATTTCGAGAGAAATTCTGAGCGATAAAAATTAAGCTAGAATTTAGAAACGAAGCATTCCAATAAAAAAGTTCCTTTTAATTAATTCTTGACAAAAATCTGATTAGCCTTGTCGAATACCAATTCCGGCGGTAAAATGCAGACACTTCTATTATTTTTTATTTTTTTAATCATGAAACTGGATTCTTTCAGAATTTTCTTTAATTGAGCAACTTGTTAACCTTTCCGCGCCCCAGCGTTGGAAATATCCGACGTTTGCGAAAGAATTAAAGATTTTACGTAAACTATGAGCGTATTATTTCTTTTGGACAAATGTTAATCAATCCTGTCAGTCGATTACTTGTCACTATTAAGTGCATTTGCTGAACAATCAATAAAAGATCAAATCACTTATATTGCCTCAATAATCAGCACTTAATATTTAACCAGTTTCCGTAATGATCTTTAGAATTATTGATAGGTGAATCAGTAGCTAACTTGGAGAATCTGCTGCCAAGGTTGCTTTTAAATTCCTGTTATATATTCTTTGTATTGGCTTATTTTTAGTCGGTCATTCCACGTGTTATTACACTTTTAGCTGCTATCCTGGCGCATAAATATTTTTGAATATCTCTAGTTCGAGTCACTGTTATCTCTGAAAAGTATAGATTCATCTGATTGAGTTTTTCATTATTTTGCTACCAAGCCGGCACTTTACCTTTGATTTGATTTCTTTATTGTTATTACCTGCACTTGTTCGTTCAGATAGGGAATTAACAACTAAAAAAAATTCTAGGTAATTGTTTATTCTTGTTAATGACATTGATAAGACGCAAATGACTGTTGGCACTTAGTATTAAATAGAGTTTCGAAGCCAACATTTTACCTCCTAATTACGAAGTCAAAATCAGAGTTAAATTCCGGTTTACTCAAATCTGTCAACATTGAAAAGTAAAATGCTAGATATGAGCTTAAAGGTCTTGAGATTTAAAAAAAAAATTTGTTAATTTGTTTGCGACATTCTCTTTGAAAGTAGTTCAATTTCGGTATCAGACTTCTTACAATTAGTTTTAATGCGCAATAGTAAGTGGTATGGAGAGTACTTGTAAATGTACTTTTAAACGGATCTGGTAAATGGTACGACTGGAAATTATGTATTACAATCATCCACCACTCTCAGAGGTATGAAGGCAAACAGGCAAATTTAATGATACTGCGAAACCTGATTAAGGACAACCGCGTCTACTTAAACGAATAAAAAGTAAATTCATTTCGACGGAAATACCGATCGTTAGTAATTCCCTTCCCCACAGTAAACAATTCGCCGAAGAATGAGACGTTACTCGTTATTCATCACAGAAGTAGGAAGGAGTTTAATGGAAAAAAACAAATGTTACATTCTCTCGAAACAAGTATACAATTTTAGTAATCCTGTACTTCTTCCGCAAATTCTTCCTCTTTTTCCTTGATTATAAACTTCCTTCATTAAAAACCTGTACTTTAACCTTGGGTTGTGGCCAAAATTTGACAGATGAACGAAAAACAGTTTTATTATTATTAGACAAATCTGTCAGCAACGGAAACGCGTATACGAAATGTGAGCAGAGTTAAGAAAATGTATCTTTATCCCTTTGGATTAAATTGATTGGAACCACGTTCAAAAGAAAGAGTCAATTTTTTCACTAATTCAATTCTATCGTTGACACGATTGACACGATAGTTTCGAAGAATTAAAAATGTGTTTCTGACTCTTGCCCCTGTCGTGTCACAAACTATAATTGAACATCTTGAAAAAATATCCCGTTTCATTAAAACGATGATACCTCACGTTGAATAAAAAGTATTAAAACATACATATTTCGGCCTGGAGATGATGAATTACAAGGACAGATTTGCGGCTCAGTCTGCTTTTATTTTTTAAGGAAAATGATTTGCATTCGCTGATCTTAAATTACTCCGAGGAAATTCCGACAAGTTTTATGTATTCGGTATGACAACCCCTACTAAGTTAAGCAAGCGTCTCAATGAACAGAAAAACAATACGTGATGCTATAAAAGCTTCCAAAATTATCATATTCTGCGCAGCGAAAATTCTCCCTAAACTCTCCCTAAACACGTCCAGTCAATTTAATCAATTCAAGACGTTCTTCTGTTCCGCTTTGCTGCATAGCAATAGCAATGTCCTCTGATAATTACCGGCACTTATTGACAAGTACTTGTTTTCTTCTACTCCGTTTCATAGTGTTTCTTGCATACTTTCCAACCGGATGAGAATAACAAAATACAATGAAAAGTAGCTCCAAAAATAACGCCATTTGACACGTTCGACACTTCTGCTTGAAACTTGGCCACCCACTTTACAAATTCCAGACGCCATACGTCTTCCTGGACCGAATTTCTTTTCTTTTCCACTTGGTCCACATATATCCTCAATATACGGATCCAAGGGTTCTCTGCCGACTTCCGTAAAAGTATTTAACCGTACACGGACCTTGGCAGGAAACAGGTTCTGGATACACAAACGTCTCTTAATCGAAGTCTGCTACTTTCTGCATTTCAACGAGAACAATGTCGAGGACCGTAAATTTGCAATGAAAAGGCATTTTCATGCTATCCGCCTAGTCATCCTACGTTAACGGGTTCTACGAGATTGACATGGCCAACGGTGAACGGTCGGAATCGTGATGGTCCAGATGAGAGATAGCCAAAACCCGTAACAGTCAAAGACCAAGGATGATTGTACACTTTTTACATTTCCCACCTGCGATGCCTACATTACGAACAATGTATAATGGGGGGAAGTCAAGTTGCAAAAAACAAAAATCGCAAATATCGCAGAACGGTCGGAATCGTGATGGTCCAGATGAGAGCTCCCGTAACAGTCAAAGACCGTAAGACAAAACCCGTAACAGTCAAAGATCAAGGATGATTATACACTTTTTACATTTCCCACCTGTGATGCTTACGTCATGAACAATGTATAATAGCTGGAACTCAAGTTGCAAAAAACAAAAATCGCAATTATCGCAGAACGATCGGAATGGTGATGGACCAGGTGAGAGATAGCCAAAACCCGTAACAATCAAAGACCAAGGTTGATTCTACACTTTTTACGTTTCCCATCTGCGATGCCTACGTCATGAACAATGTATAATGGTTGGAACCCAAGTTGCAAAAAACAAAAATCGCAATTATCGCAGAACCTCTGATACGACGGAACATTAATTGCTTTCGTCACAAGAGCAAGGACAGAAATGAATACCAATCACTACATAGTCGATCCGTCGACTTGGAGCGCGAAAGAGGTAAATTAGAGTTCGATTAAGAGTTTCGATCACGGTAGCTGGGATGAACTGTATGACTTCGAAGTCTCGAACTTCCAGGAATATATAATTCCATCGTTAATAACATCCAGGAAAACTGTTGTTTTCGCCCCCGATACAGAACTTCCTCGCAATATTTCGTTTCCGACGCTCCCCGAAGACGGATTCATGGTGGGGAGAATTACAAACTCGATGTGTCACCTTTGTGCACCGATGTTGAAACCCTTGAAGATAAAAACTGGACCTCGGAATTTTTAATCCCCATCTTCTGGAATAATTTTCCGAGCGTGCAGTGCTTTTCTGCGACTCCGTTGCATTTTAATATCTCATTAATAGTACATTGTATACCAAGGAGACCTTGCGATACGAGTCCCCACTCAGGATTTCTAGTATTAATGGTACCAGATTCCAACCGGAGCGAAGCAGCGATCCTAAGAGACCAGCCCAGAGGATGCGACCATCGGTGGTCGTCGACATTAAGACCCAACCACCGCGACCACGGCCAAATCGGTCGATCGACCACACGTTGATTAGCCCAAAACTATATGACGTCAGATGATAACCAACGTATTCCCAGAATCCCAGTTTCGACTTTGGGTTTCCACGGACCATGGAATCCCACCGTCCGCTCTTGTCGCGTGTTCGAGATAGTCATCCTCTGACGACACCCGGGGAATCGCCACCGAAAGGACAGAAATCTCAGCGTCGGCAAGAACGATCGCTGCTTTTTTTAAGGAGATTCCGCGAGTCGGGGAGCCGCGTTGCGCATCTCGGCACGAGTGGGACGATGGTCGCGGTTGACCATTGGTCAGAGATCCACATGCGAGCGCCACTTCCACCTGGGCCAGGCGGCGAAGGTGGGGCCCTGGTCTCAGGGGATATTTTCCAAAGGCGGACAATCATTTCCATCACTTTGGCACGGTATCGCATGCGGTTCGCACGGGGCTTGACCCACGACGGGCGAGGTTGACATCGATCGAGCGAGAACGATCAAAGTGACAACCGAACAACCTGAGAGAAGTCGCGCCGCTTTGAGAGAAGCCACGCATCCGAGTCAAGGCGAATTTCTGCAAAGCCGGCATTCTCGCCAGAGATCGGTAAACGAGTCGTTCGGCGAGGTCCTGCGAGTTTTTCCAAGTGGAAAAAGAGCTCGGCTCGCGAGACGGCGTCTTTGGTCGCTATCGTGGACTGATACCGGCCCCATGCTTCGGACATGGAAGGAGGCTTGATCGATGTCGCGGTCGATGTCTACGGCGCTTTTCTCGTTGCCGGTTGCCGTTTACTTTCGGTGCGAGTTTCCTTCCCATTCGCGTAGTCGGTAGAAAACGCGAAAACTCAACGACGAGCACGCGAGACCCGAAAAAGTGCTGGCGAGCTTTTCTTTCGCGCGAGTCGTCGGACGTTGAGAGAGGTAGAAGGTGAAGTTCACTCGGCGATCCGCGTCCTGAAGTGCAAGGACTTGAACTTTATTTCAACGATCATTTTCTCTGGAAGCCCGTGAGAGGACTTCTTAGTGCAGTGCAATCATGAAGGATGTTATCAACATTTGGAACCGACTCGTCGGACAGAGGTACGCCTCTGTGAGCACCGAACACAACCCCAACCCAATTTCGTCGAACGAGGCCGAGAATCATGCCGCTTCCACCTGCGCGAAAAACTCAAGAAGAAAGTCATCCGTAGTGGTCAATCAATTTTTTAATGCTGCGCTGACTGTCAACACCGATGGACGATCCCGATGTCGATGGCCGAAGAGTAAGTCGATGCCACCCCAGTATGTCCGACTCGAACTCGAATTTCATCCTTTTTCACAAATCGCTCGCATAGATCCTTTCCTGCAATTTGTTGAAAGAAATGATCTCTGATGAGTCTAACCATCGAATTCGACGTCAAATTTTACCCTTTTCTTCATTTGGTTGGATGCATTATTGGGAAGGCACAGAAATGAACTGGCTCGGTTTACGGTCAATTTTTAAATTCGATTTGTTACTTCTACCAGGACGGAAATTACAAGTGTACCGAGACAAAGAAAGGAAACATAAAGTGCGTTTATTGTTAGCAGCTCTGTCCCGCCAAATTGGTCATGTCGCCCCTACATTCATTAACTTCGGAAACGGTGCCTTTCATGCGCACTAATTAACAGTAATCGGACAAATTTCATTTCACTAAATTACTCAGGAATGCCTGTGAGGTGGATAAAGGAAGATCTCGTTTCACGTTCCATCGAGCCGCCACTTTTTGCATTCATTCTTAAAATCTCAAGGCTAAGATGACACGAGAAAGAACTTTAAATTCCACGAGATGGAAAAACGGGTGAAACTAATTATTTAAGATTGACTCCCCACTAGGTAGCTAGGTACGAGAAGAAAAAGTAACCAGGAGTTGCAAGGCATTGCACAAATAAGGAGCATCGAAACGAGTCACTTTTCAAATCCCTCTTATTCATTTTAACATCCCCCCAATGTTCATAACAAAATAACTAACTTGACAATCCCACTAATTATTCATCTTTTTCGTTTCTTTCATACACGGATTTAAAATCATAAAAGCAGAAACAGGTCCAATTGACACGTTTACTGCCACGGTGGTCACCAGAGAACGGCTTTGCACCGTGATAAAGATAAAATATGAAGGTCGATTAATTGCTGATTAATAGTTCACCGCTCGAATGAATTACATGTATATGAATAGGTTTCCTAAGTATATTAAATACATTATACAATACATTAACGGTTTAAAGCCAACTCCCTTGACTGCATCTGTGCCATTTAACGAGTCTCGGAAATTTCGTTGGCACAACAGTAAGTACCTATAGTAACAACACACCAGAAAGAATTATCTCACTGAGCATTTCCTCACAGAGAATTCCCTCCGTCCAGATGATATCATTGTCGGTATGAATGCCACGTTCATTGATTAATCATAAACGCGGAATGATTCGCAGTGTCATTCAAAGCAGGAAGACGCACACCGACCCGCGCCATGTACAGAGATATGTCGGAAGAAGACCGGTCGTTATCACGAAGGTTTTGCGGACGCAAAACCCGCGATCGGCAATTTCCATGATACGCAGCCGTGGAATCGAATATGAAAATATATTAAAATAATTGCAGAGGTGTCACACGCTTGACGGCGTCCAACTGTCACGATTATTGATCGAAAGAAAAAACCTGCGTCACTAACGAATGGAACTTTTTTTTCTTAATCAAATCGTAATGACCGATTAAAATACAGAATGCATAGCGTGCACGCCGCAGGGCCTGTTTATCTTTTTTCCTATTCTTTTTACTTATCATTCGTTCCGTATTGCAGGCCAAATGTATGACGCTCGTATCGATACTACGAGCGATAGATAATGATGATGTTTCTCGTGGCAACTATTCTAAAAATGGCCGAAACATCTATTACGAATTCTCTTCATTCCCAAACGCTCTGGCGAGTTCATTAAACGTGAAAAATAAAACCACTCGAGTCTTCGTCGTTATCGAGCTGATTGGCAATAATGCAAAATGTGATTAGTATGTATATAAACTGTCAATTAGACTCTCATTAAAACACGAGCGAATATTTATGCTAAGACAGTTTTTCTTCGCCAAGTTGTTCGAGCACTTTTACTGCGATTTTTGTCATGCCTGCGATAATGAGCTGCATTTATGTGACATTATTCATTCTAAATCTAGCGAGGAAAGAAACAGGTCGGGTGAACTTTATTAATCCTTAGGTCAATGACCAAAAATTGTTTCGTCGTTTAATAACCGGGTGTCCATCGCAGAAGTTTCGTATGCTAAATGCATAAGATTTTTTGTGCCCTTCTATTCTCAAATTTTTAAATACCACAATTCATGCATCAATCTTTTTTAGTTTACAGTAATGTTGGGCATGTTTAGCATCCAGCAATAAAAGAAACTTTTCATGTACAGCCATTAGTAAGAGGTGCTATCTCGTTAATCAACTCGACTTCCTCATTACTTTCCGCGCATGACATCTCAGTTTTGCAGATGCGTTAACACTTAGCATCTATCTACATTAAAGCCTTTGTGTTACCAATTTATCTCAGCACATTCGCTAGTAAACTTCTACATTTTTCATGAGATCAGAATATGATACCCGGGTACTTGGTTCTTAAACAACCGTATAGACGACTTTGATAACAAATACTTTTAAACTATGTTAGTTATAATAAATGTTTTATTGCATGAAATCATTAAAACGAAGCCCAAGAAAAAACTTACGGTGGCATTTTTCAATATCTGTTCAAGAAATATGAAAAATTGACATACAAGCAAAAGGATACCCAGTCATTGATATAAGAGTTAATGCAAATTATAGCCTAAGCTAGATAATCATTCATCATTTCCGTCTCTAAATACGCAATCGCGTATCTTCATATTTCCGCATTAGAGGTATTATACTTTGCATACATATCCGTTAGTGTAAATGATATCCAGGCTTTCGAACATTGCCCTTTATCCAGATAAAGAGCGAAAACCATAACGATTGAGACTTTAACATTCGTAACTCTGTTATACAGCTAAACTACATTCATGATGATAATTACTAAAATATTACAAATGTTCGTAATAATTAGGCCTTAATCAGGCAATGTTATTAATACACTCCTAACTATATTTCCAATAGTTCTTCCTTGACAGAGTAAAATAATGAATAAATAATTTTATTATAAATTCACCAATGCATCATCTATTTCTGCCTACCTATTAAATAAAAACCGGCTGTTTTTTTCTGAAATAATGATGTCCTATCCTATTTTTCTTCTCATCGTTTGTAATGTCGAAAGTGTTCACTTGCCTCTTGTCCGAAAGGCAATTAACGATCGTAACGCGCAACGTTAAACGAGATACCTTTTGCAACGCTTCGGAGAACACATCACAAATCTGCCCCCATTTTTCAGTGAACGTAACAACACCTGGAGACAATTGTTGACGTTAAAAAATGTTCAATAGGCTCCAGTCCCCTCGATCAACTAGCTCCATTATCAATGGTACATAAGAACCTGGTAAATTCATTGGACATTCGTTAATACCGTGTTTCAGTCAAATATTGTGACGTATCAGAAACTGGGAAAATTTTGTTCTCGTCAGGTGTGATAATTGTAGCGGTACATTATAGTCAAATGTGGTCCCTACGTTAATCGGGGCTTTATTGTTGGCGAACCTCCCAACGATGAAATTGTGAAACAAGCGGTGACACTACGGTCTGATACGTGCAGCCTTTCAATGTAAAATAATCCATAAAATTAGCGACACCATAACGGTCGACGTAATCGAATGCAACCGACATACTAAGCACAATTGCCGCCTTTTTCGCGCACTTACACGATCCAAGGGACCCATTTTACCAGACCATTCTGTAAGCTCGACCGAATCAGCCGAGCCTGGAAGGTCCAGTCGACACTGACCATCGGAACGACGACCAACGTGAATGTCAATGCCTCCTTAAAATCGGCAGAGCCTTGAAAGAGCCCATTTAGCAATGCCCAAATAGGCACGTAACATACAATGAGCACATAAATTCATTGCGGAAGTTTCGAGTGAATCCGGGGAAAAAAGTAACGTCGTATGACTCCGCAATTAGCATCTGATGTCGGTATGACTCGTATTCAAATTTCCCCATCGAACCGGTCCTCGAATGCCAGCTTTATACGACTTTAATGCGGCAAATCTTTAAAGTGGAAAAGGAACGACCCGAGGAACAATCTAATTAGAGAAGAGGAGATGCTTCATTTGTCCGCGTTAGGTGCAATTATAAGCAACAAAGTGCACCTGCTGGAAGGTGGAATAGATGCACGGTGCACATTTATGGGAGCAAATACCTGGCTGGTAGTAACGTTTACCATGATGCTGGGGAATTCAGTAACCTCGCTGGAGAAATCGCTCAACCGCTTAGAATTTACTCCCGTAAAGCCCTCCCGTTTTACGACTACAATACTTCCTAGTAATGCCTTTTATTTTTCCCCGTGCAGAAATATCTGGTCCATGGTAATGACTCCTCTTAGGCATCACCGAGAACTGGTGAACAGGAGCATCGAAACGATTGGCAGTTTCTGGAGAATCTTTTCCTTCTTTTTTTTTTTTACCTCGTGTATAGCTGGCACCAACATTTACGTAAATCTTTGCCTTTCATGATCAGGATTGGTGAACTGATTTTCTCCGAAAGTAGCTGAGATCGAGGTTAGTTTTTTACAACTATAAATCACCAATTGCTCTAAACTGCCTTTCGTTCCGGTTTATTTAAACCGAAAATTGATAGACATCCCCAATATTTCAAACTACCAGTATAGAAATATTTAATTGAAATTCTCTCCTCGGTTTTCCAATTATCATTACGTTAACAAGATATCGTGATTCTCTCTCCTTCAGAAAAATAACGCAAAAAGAGATTTTATTATTCTCAGTTACACGGATTTAAAATTAAAATAGAACGGCATGTGTTAAGAGTGATTAAAATTGCCCATGCATTTTTTCCACCGTTGAACAATCGTGAAATCAACATTTTGGATCGCTCTTTCCACTTCGATTCGTTCGGCCAAAACGCATTTCGGAGTTCGTCAGCTTCGCCAGGCATTAGCCGAGCAGAGACATATTGGCAGATTTTTTGCGAGGGGTCTATCAATTTTCCAGCGATGCGCCGCTGACAAAACATCGGACCATGCTCCCCTGCAATGCTGATAATGAAGTGATTACTAGACGGACCACGTGCGCGGAATCATTATTCTTGCCGGGCCACATCCAGCC